TAAAAAAATTTTAGTAATTTTAGAATACAATTTTGAAAATGAATAAATGTAGAAAGAATACCAAAATCTGTATTTACAGAGCCAATTATACGCTCGCCGCTGCCGCCGCTGCGCCGCGCGCCGGCACGAAAAATGGGCACCTTAACATTTTTATGTATTTTAAAGTTTAATATATTTTGTTCTAGTGGGCCGTTTCTGATGATTTTTTGAGCAATTTGTAGCTAAATTATTTGGCTTTTTAGTATTTATTTCTAAATTAAAAATGAAGTTTTCCTCTGTCCATTATACGAGGGAAAACAAAATGATATTTTGGGGATCACCCTGTGGAATATGTTAGCAATGCAAGGAATTTAAAAATTATTTTATCATCTAGGTACACCTTTCCTCCATAGTTTGTTTTTTGATTCATCTCAATAACTTCATTTTTATTGAAGATATTCGCTTTTAAATACGACAGTAACAATCTACAGCAATTTTAGCATTGATTTTGGGTCCTCATTAACACAGTTTTAAAATAGTGTTTACTGTTTTTGTAATGTCACTGTGTCATTGAAAAGTCATATTATTATTATTTAGTGGCGTTTACTCTCGTAGTGATAGTTTTAAGTACTGAAGTAACGCATATTAGCTGCATTATGGTAGAAATCAAGTTTTGGACTTAAAACCGTATCTGCTAGAGTGACTACACAAGAGACAATAATAATATAATATAATAAAAGCTCCCCTATATATAATAGCGTTTAACGCCTTGGGAGTAGCAAGGTACAGCTTGCCATACTAAAGCCGTTCGGTATACAAGGAAGGTAATGTGGCTAGCACTACGCTTCAACCGCTTATTATTACCTCAGGATTGTGAATCCCAAGTACTCATTTAAGGCTGAGTCGACCTAGGTACCCAAACTATATTTATTTTAGTCGGCTCATGCAATGCCGGGTGTGGCAAGAGATACGAAAAAGTCAAATAATTTACCTACAAAATGCTTAAAAAATCATCAAAATCAGTCCACCAAAACACAATATAAAAAACTTTAAAGTAAGTGAAAATTTTAAAGTGTCTGTTTTTCGTACCGGTGAGTGTCAAATTTGACATACGGTCAAGAACCATAAGTTAAATTCTGTATGAATTCTGTTGTCATTTTTGATTTATTTTAAACTGTTTGAATAAAAATATTAAGGAAAGAGTATCCGTGGTACTCATGCATGGTAAACGGAAACGACATCACAGGTCCCCATCCTTGACAGTTCTGTTGACGTTTCAATTGAAACATTTGCATTTGATTTGAAATTTTGTGTTTTCGTTTGTCATTCACTGACCTTATTTTATATTATTTATTGTTTATTATACAATCGTTTTTGTTTAGAGGATGTAACTCTAGAAGTAAATTGTGTCAGAACGTAAATTAACAGTGACTCTATTGCAAAATACCAAAAGTACTGTAAAATAGTTGGTTGTGTAGTCTGCGGTAGATCTCGGATATAGATTGTAGAATAAGTGGGAGATTAAAGATCTATTGTGTCCCTCCTTTCTTGAGTTATAACTCATCATACAGTCTATAACTCATCATACATGGGGATTTTCCTGTTGTAGAGGGGACATAATATTCCCATCCTGTCCAGCTACGCACTGCCATAAATAACTTTTAGGTATATTATGAAACTTTTATTTTATTCGTTATCAACATCCAAAACCTCTTATTGGAATACCCTTTATTATTTGTCTGTTTTTGTGTTTATTTCTGTTTTCTGTTGACTGCCCTCTATAGAAAAAAATATGCAGATATAGAAAAGTTTCTAAATTAACTATAATAAGTACACTAAATATATTTTTTTATTTTGAAATTAGTCGATAACAAAAAAATATAATACAGTATTGCAAGCGTAGAGCTGTTTGAACGCCACCCTGTATATGAAAATGCTCAAATAAGACTAAAAACTCGATTTGGTCAATGCCTTTACCATAGTAGAAAGAAAAAATGAGTAGTTACACTCTCCCAAATATTTTCTGCCAGTTTTTGCAATCTGTCGAATATCGGCAGATTGCAGAGCGCTTCAGTTGAGTTCCGTCCATCGACCTGTAAGGTTCGAGCGTTGCGTCCCAGCACAGAGACGGATGGACAAAAAATGAGTGCCTTACTGTGTGCTGCTATTGGCTGTAGTAATAATTCAAAAAATTGCGCTTTGAGTTTTTTTTTGAGAGTCATTTGTGATCATGTTTGTGTTCAGGTTCATTTTCTCATGACTGATTACTACTTAATAATTTCATATTATTTTCATTTAAACCTCAATTTTTTATCGATTTTACTTTTGACAACCATCCCTTGCTTGCTGTTTAACGAACTGCACCATCATTGAACAAAAATTTGCTAGTACCGAAAAAGAAACTGGATATCCCGATTCCTTAGAGGCATGGTTGTTTGTTTCCGGAAACGATATAACGTACCATAACCGTGGATAGCCCTATACAGGGTGAGTCTTAAATAAGTGCAAATATTTTTAAGGGTAGTATATTTTGGCCCCAGAAATATGAGGATTTTAATATGAGATTTAGTTATAAAACATAATTTCTTGATAATATGGTAACTAGGGTTCAGAACCGGAAATTCCAGGTTCTTTTGATCGGTTGAACCCGGTACCTTCGGGACTCGGTAACAATAACTAAAAAATATTCTTTTACTACGTGAGAAAGTAGTGATGCTATTTCTCATTGTTTTTGCTTCTTTTCTCTTTTGAAATTTATGTAATGTTAATTAGCAATTATTGAAGTTTAAATATGTTATTTTATTATTTAGTACAATGTATTGTTCAGTGTATTAGTTATTCTACAAAACAAACACATTAATGTTAAAATTAAACTTGTTTTAAATTAAAAAAAAGTTATAGAAAATCTTTGAAATAGATAATAATATAAAAATATGTCATCGAGTATGTCATTATATATTTTTTTCCGCATTTCTTCTCATCAGAAGATTTTCAGATACAGAAGGATTGTTACTTATACAAAATGTGAAAATATTCTGTTTTCAATAAGCAAATTTTTACTCGATGGTCGATTTTTTTTATTTTATTTTATTGTGAACTCATATTTTCCTAAATACATCTCTGTGAAACTATGACGAGTGCCACGACTATAATTTGCCTAGTTATAGATCACGACTATACAGCTACGTCAGTGGTCACGGGACACGAGCACAAATTAACTATAACAGATGCGAAAGAACACCGAATTCCGCATTCAGGTTTCTGTGACCTTCAGAAAGAGAAATTCATAGACAATCCGCATCAATGTAAAGTTTGGGTGAAATATAACCGACACTTTGAAGAGTTCGATGAGGAGATTAAAAAGGCCGATTTAGTAGTAAGTCATGCAGATGCTGAATCTTGTTTAGCTGTATTAAAGCATAATAAACCATTACTGGTAGTTATTAATGAGGATAAGACGGATAAGCAAAGTGAGCTAGATGAGCAGTTGCAAAAATATGGGCATTTATATTATTGCACTGTTGATAATCTTGAAGATGGTTTGACTACTGCTTTAAAAACATCCCCAAAAACAGATGAGAGTTTGTTTGCCAAATATTTAGGCAAAATGAACAAATTTTTCCACTTTCATGATCAAAGGCTTTTAAATGGGTAAATAATTTCGAGTTATCCAGAGATTCGGATTCTTTTGCAAATTTTAGACAAATATCACATTGATGTATTTGAAGACCCTTTTTAATGATGTAGTCAAACATAATTAAAGACATTTTGAGTTGAAAACATTTCTCAGAGGCTTCTATAGTTTTCATTATATCAAAATGAAAACTATAGAATTTGACCACCCATGTGAGAAACTTCCTCTTATTTACATCATTAAATGATTTATTAGATTGAAAATATTTGATGTATTAAAGTTTACAAATAAAGATTTATATAGTCGAAAAAAGTCCGATAGAACCAATAGAAAGGTAACTATTTTGTCACATTGTTAATTAAATTTTGTTAAATAAATTAATTTTTATACTATAAATATCTTATTTTTCCTTATAAATAAACACATTTGTATCCCATTTTAAATAAGATATACAAATTACCAAAACTTAGAAATAACAGTTCAAAAGTTCAACAAAAATCCTACACGCGTTTTTAAAAAGAAACATATAACCACGCACTATGTCACTCCAGCAAGCGAATACGACACAGCATGGGTTTCCGGACTAAACGACTGGTGTATTTACACCACTCAATAGGCGTGTCGGGTTTGCCGAACGGTTTCCGATGCAGTCGCTTTCTTTCGCATCTGTTATAGGTAAAGGTGCGTATTCATTATCCGAACGAACGAACGAACGAACGAATGAAAGTGCAGTATATTTAGACGGGGACCGAACGCATGCGGCCGTTCGTTCGTTCGTTCGCTCGACGATCCGTTTCGAGTCGGCACATCAAAGGCGTTCGCCAACAAATGCCTCCGGTCTTCTCGTGCGGTCCTATCGCGCGGTCCCCGTCCATACCACTAGCGAACATTCGTTCGTTCGTTCGTTCGTTCGTTCGTGCGGATAATGAATACGCACCTTAATTTGTGACACGAGAACAAGGTCATATAAAGTGGCAGAAAAAAAATAAAGGATTTGACAAGGAGTCAAGCTACTAGTTTCCTTATACTATGCCTTTACCACATTAAATCTGAAATTTTCTAGTGCGAGCCGTTTTTGAAAGTATTTAATATTCTTCTGATCTATCCTGTATAACCAAAAAACTTTGCCAGGAAACGTCACTTCAAAAGATTTTATATGAAAAACAACCAGCTGATTTTGATTTTTAAACAAGCCATCGCCTACTGTATTTATTTGCACTATTTTTTTATATTCTGTAAAATTTAGTTATGTATCGAAAATGTTCAAGAAACAACCCTAGTTTTTATTGATTTTTGATTTGTGACATTTAGATGGGCGTTAATATTAAGAGGTGTGCACTTGTGTACTTTTAGATTACAAATACTTATTTATTGATCATATAAAAATATGGGTAATGGTAAGAAGCTGTTTGTAACTGTTGGAACTACAAGGTTTGAAAAATTGGTGTATAGAATTACAGACGAATCTATCTTAAAACTTTTGGACAAATTGGGTTTCGATTTTGTACAGATTCAAACTGGCATTGAATTATTACAGATATCAATTCATGCCGATTTAAAGCACGCTATATTTAAAAAATTTAATTCCACAACTGTAAAATTTAAGGGTGACTTAAATTTAACGTTGAAATATAACCGACACTTTGAAGAGTTCGATGAGGAGATTAAAAAGGCCGATTTAGTAGTTAGTCATGCAGATGCTGAATCTTGTTTAGCTGTATTAAAGCATAATAAACCATTACTGGTAGTTATTAATGAGGATATGACGGATAAGCGTCAAAGTGAACTAGATGAGCAATTGAAAAAAAATGGGCATTTATATTATTGCACTGTTGATAATCTTGAAGATGGTTTGATTACTGCTTTAAAAACATCCCCAAAAACAGATGAGAGTTTGTTTGCCAAATATTTAGGCAAATGCTATGCTTTCTTCAATAAGTAAATGTAATTTGATGTAATCATATCAATAAATAAATGTAATAAATGTAATATAACAGTAAGATCAGTAACAATTACAAACATCAATTTTCTATTTAAAAAAATGGATGAGATTCTTCAATAAATAAATGTAATTTGCTGTAATCATAACAGTAAAGAAATATAATAAATGTAATGTAACGGTTTGTGTTTCATTAAGATCAATAACAATTACAAATATAAATTTTCTATTTAAAAAAATATTTAAATTATATTTTCTATTTAACAAAAAAAGCATTATACAAGTTTTTTAGCATCTAAAAACTTTTTTAAGTGTCTCATTTGCCAGGCTTTCATTTCAATAAGCACTAAAGTGTGAGTAACTGGCCACCACCTGTTGTTACTCTTGAGTTTATACTCTCAGACAAACAAGTTGTCTGAATCTCTCTTTACGATACTATAACAAACATATTATATAAAACAAATACAATGAGTCACTTGACATGGATTATCAGTAAATTTAGAGTTCTCACCCTGTGGTAGTTTTGTTCTTCAGTAATCTGTTCAACTTGATCTAAAAGCTCTCTGACTCTCTGAACTGTATTTCTTACAGCTTTTCTTTTTGAACTACTTCACCATAATAAATAGTATGTTCACCAACTTGTGTAAATGTACTCTTAATTGAGATCCACCAAACCATACAGAACGGTTCGGCTGTTCGGATACTAACAGAACTGTTATGGTGCGTTGATGACAATACAGAACTGTTATGATGAGCGTGAATTAGAAATTTCTAGAGAACTACAACAACTAGATCGGAGATTTTTTGCACATCATTGTTTCACATCTTATTGTGAAACGATTATGATTAAAAATATCTTTAATATGGCGGCACTTCCGGAAATACCGAAAGTTGACAGCAAGTTTCTTATTTTAAATGGATGTCCCGATTTTTTATAACATACTTAAATTCTCTGTAAGATTTTATGAATTTTGAAATCAAACACTCTATACTTAACATTAACCGTTTTTGAGAAAAACAAATATTTAAAGTTTTTGTACGAAAAAAACTGCTTGTCAAAAAAATGTGTATAGCCTAAAGGGCAAATTTAGTTATTACCACAGCCTCTGTGACATAAAGAAAAGACATATAGCTAACTATTTCAAAAATTAAATTATTCGAATGTCGTATAATAATGGCCGCAGCTGTCATTTAATTATTATAAATATTTTTTTTTAATGGAAACCCACTTTTTTTATTTCACTGGTGAAAAGGTTTTACAATTAGTTACTTTTTGCCCATACATGTTCCTATACCTAAAATAAATCGTTTTTAAGTTATTTAAGTTTTAAAGCATATATTTTCTTGATTTTAACCGATAGCATATGACTTTAAACGTCAAGTGATGTAGATAGATCTGGCCATGTTTCATTTGTTCAAAGAGCAGTACCTATGTCATCGATCATCATTTCCAAGCCAACTTTGCGCCGTTTTTTTTCGATCATACGGTATATTAATAATATCAACTATTAGATATCACTAAAGAGAGAAAATACGATATATATTTTTATAAATACACTTTTTAAACTCTTAAGGCAGGCATTATTTATAATATAGGAAATTCAAATAATTACTTTTCTGACAGACGGAAATAAATAATTGTCTGATTGTTCTTAACGTCACTTAATGTCAAAGGAAGCTAGATAAAATCAACATGTATATATAGATAATATATATGTATATACAGGGTCCGGCAATAGTGCGTCGGGCATCTGTAGCTCCTAGAATAAAAAACTTGAGAATTTTGTTTTAGTGCAAACCTAAGGTATGTACCAGGATGTATTTCAGGAAAATATTTTAACTTCTATAGGGTGGCTCAAAAAAGTGTGAGCGGACCTGGATGATTTTTTTTAAATGGAACACCCTGTATATTATTGCATTTTTGGCTTCCTTTCAGATCACTTTACATAACCCTAAGATATAAATAAATATATTTCCATAGTTTCAGAGATATTAAAAAATAAATCAAAAATATATATTTTTCAGCCTTTCTTAAAAAAATTATTAAAAATACAAGAACTGTTCTGAAATCAAAACGATATTAGGTATTTACTTTAGATGGTCTGTTCTTACTTTGCTATAAATATGGTAATCGTAATTCATACAGGATGTTCAATATTCTACGCCAAACTTTCTAAAATATAAAATATTTTTTCTTTGTTTTTTTAAATGGAACACCCTGTATATTATTTTTTTATTAGATGGAGAGTTTAAAAATGAACATTTATTGTATTTAGAGTATTTCAAAATTTTTAACGGTTTCGCAGATACACGCAGTATTATTTCATATGGCGCTTTCAATGCTAAAATACGAGAGAAAAATTATTGGGTGGCTTTGATAAAAATTTACCGTGGAAAATGCCATATGAAACATAAAACCGCAAATATCTACGAAACCGTTAAAAATTTTGAAATACTCTAAATACAAAAATTGTTCATTTTTTAATTCTCCGTCTATTGAAAAAATAATATACATGGTGTTCCATTTAAAAAAACGAAGAAAAATTATTTTATATTTTAGAAAGTTTGGCGTAGAATTTTGAACATCCTGTATAATTTACGATTTTCATATTTATAGCAAAGTAAGTACAGACCATCTAAAGTAAATACCTAATATAGTTTTGTTTTCAGAACAGTTCTTGGTATTTTTAATAATTTTTTAAGAAGGGCTGAAAAAAATATATTTTTGATTTATTTTTTAATATCTCTGAAACTATCAAAATGTATTTATTCATATCTTAGAGTTAAAGTTGTAAAGTGATCGGAAAGGAAGCCAAAAATGTAATAATATACAGGGTGTTCCATTTAAAAAAAATCATCCAGGGCCACTCACACTTTTTTGAGCCACTCTATAGAAGTTAAAATATTTTCCTGAAATACATCCTGGTACATACTTCAGGTATACACTTAAACAAAATTCTCAAGTTCTTTATTCTAGGAGCTACAAATGCCCGACGCACTATTGCCGGACCCTGTATAGAACATGTATAGTCAAAAAGTAACGAATTGAAAAACCTTTTTACTAGTGAAATAAAAAAGTGGGTTTCTGTTTGAAAAAAAAATATTTATGACAATTTTTTAATCGCTCAATTCCATTATATGACATTCGAACAAGGTTTCGAAATGATTTTAACAGAGAAACCCTATTTCCTGACTAGATAGCGCAAAACCGACATAGATGTCATGGACTCGATTTCTGAGACACGTTTAATGGCATAAACCGCCTGTTGATATTTTCACTCCAACTGATATACGAGGTCTTTTTAAATTTTTGACCATTTTGGAAATTGGCCCATAACATTTTTATTTCGCGGAATAATAATAGTTATTTTTTATACAAGACGATAAAATGGTATTTTATCGTCGACCGAAAAGATTAATTCACGAGCGATGAAATCGCCAGTGAATTAATTTCAGAAGACAATAATGCAATTTTATCGTCGTGTATAAAACAATATTTTTTTTCCATAGCGAGTTACGTTTGAAAAAATATTCAGAAATTATTATTTCAAGGAATTTATTACTAGTAGAAAAAATATTGTGCTGGGTTGGCGTTAGTTTCTATGTAATTTGACAAATAAATAAAGCTGTCTCTTTAGTTGTCAGTTTTGAGTCAATATTTTTTAATTCTTTTTTGTGTCGATTGCTGATTGAATCGGAGCCAGAAATGGCTCAAAACGAAATAAGTAAATCAACAACAGATATTCAGGCTGAGGCGACAAACGCTATATCCAAACTACTTCCATTTAAATCCCGAATAACTTATGAAAAGGAAAACAAAAATGTTTAAAAATGGAAGCAATTAAAAAACGTGCGAGAAGAAATAAAGTTTCCTCGCTGTTAAAGCATAGTTTAGTTAAAGTATCATTTAATCTACCCTTGCGGTTAAAGTACTATTTTATCTACTATTTTTGATAGATATAACGCAATTTTAACAGTTGCTATGGAAAAAAAGTCTGTAAAAACATTCTTGTAATAAGCTCACTTCAAAATAATACTCTGTATTAGGTATTAAGAATAATATTTTCAAATACTTTAGAGCGATAGTAATCCTCGGTCCTTGTTTCATAATGGTGATTTCTTCGATAGAATTTACATTTAGCATTTCCTAATCGTTTTCCCGAAGACGCATGGGGGCTCGAGTAAGTGAAAAATGTTAATTACTCCATTAACAATTTAAATAAATGCGATTTATTTTACGTTTGATTTAGATAAGGTTTAGGGCCGTTTCGTACTGCTGCGGTGTGTTCGATTGGCATGCCGCAGTTGCGTATGAAACACGCATTTTATACCGACCCTATTTACATATCCCTGTTTAAATTAATTATAAAAAATTGCGAGATAAATGTCCGCCGAGACGGTAATTACAGTTGATTTTTAACACTTTTTATTTTTGCCTTTTTGTTTACTGTATCTTGGCTAAAGCAGATTTATTCGTAATTTATTTAGATTCGGCATAGGCGTAACTGAGAAAAATAATATCGTAAGGATTCAATAGAAAACTAGTAATTATAAAATGTTTGTTATAGGCTTGGTGCATTCTCCACCGGTGCTGCCACCATCGGAGAATATCGTAAACAATCGGTACATACAAATACACGGGTTTAAATAGCGAGTATACGAAAAAAAGTTTATACAGGGTTGTTCACCACATACGACACGGAGTATTGTAGCTAAACGATCAGATTTTTTCAAATTGTAGGTTTTGGGTTCGTTGAAGGACTATTAGAGCTACAATTTAAAAATATTTTTACAAGATACAGAGTGTCCCAAATAAATAAAAAATATCAAAGTTGTATTTTTTTTAAATGGAACACCCTGTATATGATTACATTTTTAGTTTTTACAAATAAAATAAAGGTAAATTCGATTACAAAAAAACACATTTAAACCTTACCGTTTTTGAAATATTTTTGATTTTGTGAAATTGCAGTAAAATAAGGCTTCATTTCTCCAACGCGGTATCAAAGTTTTTAATACTATGTAAATATTTTCTGAAGTTTATTTATTAATCAATTATTGTGTTGCAATAATAGAAATAATACTACCTCACACAAAGTGTCTAAATATGTATTTTAAATAATATCTTGGTTTAAACTTGAAAGGCGTGACTTTTTATCACACTGTCTAATAAATACACTTACAAAATTCAGTTTTTTATTATTTGGAGCATTTTTTTTTCAGCAATTACTATTAATAAACGCAAACAGTCAATTAATATAATGGAATCATATTAATTGGTCTTCTTTTAATCAAATAAACGAACTATATTGACAATATTGGTATCTGTACCCTTTAAAAATTTGTTACATCTTTAAAAATAATCTAAAATGTCAATATTCCATGGGTATATTGATAAATGAGGCCTAAATTATAAGAAAATGCATTTTCTACGAAAATTTCAAGAGATAAGTAAAAATGGTATAATACAATTTGATAGACAATTAAATTTTGCATCTGATTCCTATAAAATACATAGTGTTCTATTTAAATTAAACAAGTTATTGCCTTTAAAACTAGTCATTATTTAAAATTAATTTTTAGACACTCTGTATAAGGTTAAGGTAGTATCCTTGTTTATAACATAATCAAGGGTAGTTTAATTTTTATTATTGCAACACAACATTTAGTAAATAGCAATATTTCAGTATTTCAATTTGGTTTTAAAAAATTAAATACGCCTAGAGAAATGAAGCATTAAAATTATTACTGTATTTTGACAAAAACCTAAATATTTCAAAAACGGTAACATTAAAATGCGGTAAACCTTTTGTTGTAAAAAGAGTGTTCCATTTAAAAAATACAACTTTGATATTTTTTATTTATTTGGGACACTCTGTATCTTGTAAAAATATGTTTAAATTGTAGCTCTAACAGCGCTTTCAGATGGAGCGGACCATCCGCGATGGACCGTCCGTCGTGTTTTTTCAAGACAGCAGTCGGACGAACTCCGTCGGACGGAGCATACGCGCTCATGTGAAATTGTTCATATAAACTCATGGTACTTGCTCGAAGTCGCGGACGGTCCGTCGTGTTTTTTCAAGATAGCCGTCGGACGAACTCCGTCGGACGGGGCATACACGACCATGTGTAATTGTTCATATAAACTGATGGTACTTGCTCGAAGGCGCGGACGCTCCGTCACGGACGGTCCGCTTCATCTGAAAGCGCTGCAATATAGTCCTTCAACGAACCCAAAACTTACAATTTACCAAAATCTAATCGTTTAGCTACAATACTCCGTGTCGTATGTGATGAACAACCCTGTATAATTATTTTAAAGTGTGAAGAATAAATTGTAAAAATTCTAACAAAATAAACAGGTAAATATTTTGATACCTTCAGAAGGTCTAACTTGTATTATAATTTATTATTGAAGCTAATAATAAATTATAATGCAAGAACTTTTTAGATGAGTTCAACTCCGGTAGCGAGCATAGTTTTACGCCCCGGTTTTGCTAGCGGGGACATAACTTGGGTTATTTCGGCTATAACGAAATTTTTTGAAGGTACATAATTATAATAGAAAATATTCATAAAAAATCTAAGCACTAGTTGATACTAGTGCCAGGTGGTGCATCGTCGTTGGAATCATAGGAAATGCCATGCCAATTTTGAACTGTCCAGATCCCCTATTGATTTTATAGCGAAGTCGGGAATAGATTTTCTACGTTTAGTAAACACACATGTCAAGTTTGAACAATTTTGGATAAGCCATTTTTGAGTATTTTGAGGAAAACTAAATCGATTTTTTAATTAAAACTGAATAGGTAACAATCAAACACCAGTCAAAAACCTTTTACCAATTTTCAAACATAACTTAATTTTAATAAAATTTTAATATTCAGTACTAGTAATAATTTATTGTTATACACACAAAGAAAAAGTGAGCATAATAAAATGATATTATGCGGGAAATAGCTTAGACCCCCCACTGTATCTGACATGCTACAGTTAATTTCCTCTGAATATTAAAATTAAATTAGGTACTTTTGACAATGACAAAATAGTGTTTGATTGTTACTTGTTACGGTTTTAATTTAAAAATAGTTGCAATCTTTTTTGAATTACTCAAAATCGGCTGGTCCAAAATTGTTCAAATTTGGCATGTGTATTTAGTATATACCATACATAAACCTTTAAAAAATCTATTTACGAGTTCGCTGTAAAATCAATAGGGGAGCCAATATTTGACCAGTTCATAATTTGCATGAGATTTCCTATGTCTCTAAAGGGGCGTCCAGACCAGATGAGCGAGCAGTAACGAGCGCGAGCAAACATTTATTCAAATTCGCTTGTGATTTCTGCTGCTCTCGAGCACATGATCAGCTTCCGTCCAGACCTAGCGATTATTTGTATGTTCGGCGTTGATCGGTGTCTGGCACTTCATGTTCATAATGTCGGAAAAAATTATTGCTTGTGCGTCTTTCATTGTATTTTATAAATTGTTGAAACGTCAAAAGAGAAAACGACTGCAGAGGAGATGGTGGAATATAACTCTTTTTAAAAATCGAGTTCCTCATGGTGGTAACAATTTACTAAACGATGTTGAAACAGAAGATTCTGGAAAATTTAAGAACTTTTGTCGGATGTCACTTACAGATTTTAATACCTTATTAGATTTAATTGACATGAAAATAATGAAAAGTGATACCAATTACCGAAAAGCAATTTCACCTAGAGTAAGGCTAGCTATAACCTTACGGGTTTTGGCGATTTTTGTACTCCTCTATTAGTTCTAAAACAACTTCATTCGGCCATTCCATTTTTGATATTCGATCGCAAACGTGGTAAACAAAATCCCGTCCAAACCGAACGTGCAATAGCGCGAATTTTCTTTGATGTACCGACACGGCTTGGAACAGCGTCAAGCGCGAGCAAGCAACCATTCGCTCGCTCGCAGAGCCGTCGACACCAGTAAAGCGTTCCCATAGAACATACCCGAATTCTTACTCGTTCCTGCTCGCTCATCTGGTCTGGACGCCTCTTAACGACAATGCGCCACCCGGTATATGTATATTTAATTTTTTGATTATGTGATTGGTACTATTTTTAGGTAGTCACTTATTTCGACAACGACTTGTATCCATTTTAAAAAATATATATATATTTTTGCCTAGCCCTGTATATACCACACAATACTTATTGCCATACTTCAGCATAGAAAAGAACACTATAAAATATTGTCAACTAATAATTTTTAGCCGACCATACCAATAGGTATGGTATAGGCTATTAAGATCGGCAATAAAAAGTTTTTTTAATTTCACTCAAAATAAGTTATTTGGATCATAAATGACCTGAATAAAAAATATTTTCATGGTGTTTGTCTGTCTGTCCGTCTTAACACGATAACTCAAAACCCGCTAAACCGATTTTAACCAAATTTGGCACAAAAATACTGTGGCACCCGAGAATCTGGCCATTAGTTTTTGGTGGGGGTGGGGGGTTGGTAAGGGGGTATGGGAGGGGGTTAAAAATTTTAAAAAACCGTAACTCCAAAATTACAGTAGCTAGCGAAATGCGGTTTTCAATTTAAGATTAGGAATAATATTTGCAACAAAATTTGTAATAACATCAAAATCAAAGTCGCAGTTTTTGAGATAAAAAAATTGGAAAAATTCCTTTACTTTGAAACTAAAAGAACTGCCTACCAACTTTTTATTAACATATTTTAGTATTGGCGGCTATACGTGCCTCCCGGCGCCAATTTTTTTGTGAGTTAGTTTTAAAATTTCGTTTGAATGTTTAAAAAAACTCAAAATTATAAAAATCTGGAAATGTACTGAATACGTAGATCATATTATTTTTGTTGAAAAAATACTAATAAACATTTAAAAGTATCGATAATGATAAAAATAAATAAATATGTATTAAAAATTATATAACTTAAATTACACTTAAATTCATAAATCATTTTAAACATAATTAATTTAATTGCGTTAATATACGTAAATGTAATAAAAAAGATAATTTAATTTCTAAATTTTAGATTATTTAAGCTGTTTTTTATCTATGTTCCTGTTCCTGATTAATAGATCGATAAAAATAATTAAATGCTTGAAAATGTATAAAAGTGGTTTCAATTGTTATTCAAATTTGGAATTCACCATTTTGTCAAAATAAATATGCTGGTGATAATTTTTTGGGGCACAAAAATATATAAATTTGAAACACATTTTTTTTATGAAATATAAAATATTAGATAATGCGAATGTATTAAAACAAGGATGACTCTTTTTTATTATTGTATTTAAATTAGACATATTTAATACTTCATAAAAGTACTAGGAAGTATTGTAAATGTCCTCAAAAATGTCATATTAAAAGTCATATTAAAAAAATAAAATTTATTACTGAGCAAAAAATAAAATAATACTTCAAACTTCATTTCTGTAACAATAACAATAACTAATTTCCATCCATAAAAATATCAATTTACATTAAACAATTACAACAAAATATTTCTATTTGCATACCCTAATACTTTTGGTCAACTTTCATGTAGTTTTAAAGATTTTTTTCCTCCATAATAGGATAACAGTGTCCCTGCCAAAGCTGGTATTACTGCAAATAATATCACAGATTCTTCACCAAATTTATCACCCAAAATACCCGTAACCAGTGGCGTCACAAACCTTGCAATTGACATTAAACTATTGCTTACTCCACTTAACGAACCCCTGTGGAATTCATCTGTATTCTTTAAAATTAACTCCATAGATAATATCCTTAAAGCTGTGCATGTCAGAGAAAAAGGGATTAATACAAATAAATATGTATAAAGACTAGAAGATATATACATTGCTATAACAGACACTGCCAACAAGCTGAAAAAAAATGACATTCTTCCACAGGAGTCTTTGATTCTTATTAATCTATTGATATAGTCTAAAAAAAATGCCGAACATGTACCAACAATATTGAAATAAGAGGTAATGTAACCGGAATGTTTCTGAGATAAATGATACTTTTCTTTTTGTATTAACGATTGGTTAAAGAAAAAAGTCGATACTGATAAACCAAACAAAGACCTTAATGTAAATGTGCTCCAATTTTTATGCCAGTCTACATTTTTCAAGTCAGATATAGAATTTCTCACTTCATCTTTGAACTGTTGAAAAAATGGTCGTTTGGCAATAATGTTCTTCTTTTTATTCCTTTCTATTTCTTTGTAGGATGTTTCAAGTTTTTTTACAAAAGCTAAAATATATAAAATTACAATAATTTGGACCATAGCGTAGAAACACAACTTACCAATATTAATAAAAAATAGAACCATTGTAAATAGGCATACATAGGTAAATCCATTTGGTAATGCAGAAATATGGCCCCCTATAAAAGGCCCTAATATAAAACCAAAACTGGCAACAGCTGTAGATTTACCGTAAGCCTCACTTTGTTTATCATGTGGAATAATGTCAGTTATTATTGCCTTACATATAGTTTGAATATGTTTCACACAACCTAGAACAAGTAATAAATTCATTATACCTAAACCTACAAATATCTTCTGAAATAAGATATACCTATCACTAGCCGAATTACAACAATGAAACCTAGATACTTGTTAAATCCTAGTAACCCATAGCATATTCCACACATAAAGATACTACATTTTAGTATAAATAATCTACCTTTAATATCAGTTAAACTTCCCTAAAATTAAACAAGCATGCTCTAAAAATACTACAATAGAGGTTTTAAATACACTTACTATTACTGGCCCAGAGAATACTTGTAATGCTGAATAAAGAGAACTCATAAATCCAATAAAAGTATGAGAAGCCCCTAAGGCTTGAAAATGTGTATTCAGTAAAGGATATACGAGTCCAATGGCAAATAAATCCTAAAAAGGGTTTTTATCATAAAATTTGTAAAGGGCTATTAAACTTACTGTAAAAGTAATTAAATAAACTAGAAAAACTGGATCTTTAAAATTCATTATAACTGATAATTAAAGGTACTATTTCAATTACTAAAAATGTACTTATCCGTTCTTTCTAAGATAAGCCATCATTTGCGTATAAGTAAAAGTTTCTTTCTAATCGTAGATAAAGATGTAGATAAAGAAAACTATTTACTTTATCTATGTGATTTGCAAAATTGTGAATGAATATTTTTCATTATGAAAATTTTCATCGTTTAAAACATAATTTATCCTGTTTCAAATTAACGACAGTAAATATGTATTAAAAACAACTGTAATTGAAGTTAAAAAAGGAAAAGTTAATAGATCGCAATTAATAAATTCAATAAATTAAAATTAACAAATTATAAAATTTCAAATCATTCTAAAAAAAAATAAACCACAAACCACAGAAAAGACACTTTCTTTAGAATTCTGCCGTTCGTTGTTTTTCTTTCTATATTAGTTTTACGGCCTAAGCTGCCAGGGCTATACGGCCAGCTTGTTTTTATTAAAATAATTATTATAATAGATCATTCTAAAAAAAAATAAACCACAAACCACAGAAAAGACACTTTCTTTAGAATTCTGCCGTTCGTTGTTTTTCTTTCTATATTAGTTTTACGGCCTAAGCTGCCAGGGCTATACGGCCAGCTTGTTTTTATTAAAATAATTATTATAATAGATTATCATCTTTCTTATTCTAAAAATTTTTTTAAAGCTTGTATGCTATTATAAAATTAAGAAAAATTATTAAAAATGAGGGTATTACCAAAATTAGTAAAAAAAGGTGATATTTGAGCACCTCAATTATAGTAAAAACTGTTATAATAATTTCATATCATATATAAAAGTGATCATTACTTTATTCAGTATGGCATACCAGCCAACTTCTGTAGGTGTTTTAAGCTCTCTTTCCTTGTCTAAGGTTTTAAGGTTAATGCCAGAATGATTTAAAAAGAGGATGAAAATGACAGCTACTGGGGCGCCCTCTTTCGGAGATTCTTGAAATTTTCTTTTTATGAAACGCATTGAACGGTAGGTTTGTGATCAAAATTTTTAGGAATTTAATAATAAAAATAATTAATACAACTAGAAAATAACACTTTAGATACATTCCAAGTATTTTGAGTGCTTCATTACACGTTATAAACACATTAATGCATCAACTAATACACTGATGATTACGGATATTAATTTTGACATTTGAAGATCATTTCAGGTATTGTATTTTTGTTTACTATTTTAGGGATAAAAATGGCTCCAAGAAAAGGAAAAGTTCAAAAAGAGGAAGTCCAAGTTTCCTTGGGCCCTCAAGTTCGCGAAGGGGAAATGGTATTTGGTGTAGCACATATATTTGCCAGCTTCAATGATACCTTCGTCCACGTAACTGACTTATCTGGAAGAGAAACCATTTCTAGGGTCACCGGAGGCATGAAAGTAAAAGCAGACAGAGATGAAGCTTCTCCCTATGCTGCTATGTTGGCTGCACAAGTAAGTAGTAATTTAAATTATTAGTGAACTTGAAGTTCAGGTATTTTTAAATCAACAGTCGCCTTGGTTAAAATGATATGAATAGATCAGTTAACTGTAATAGAAGATCTTTCCAAAACTCTTAAAACTGCTTGTTTCAGAGAAAAAAAAATTTACTTTATCAAAACAAAGTACTGATATACTCAAATAAAATTATAATTATAAAATTGCTCCTTTAATGAAAAGTGTAAAGTTTCTTCAATACATGTAATATGTGTTTTCAAAAAGTGTCTGTTGTGTCAACCGAAATACTAGGACTACTTGTTCCTGTATTACCCAAAAATGCAAATAAGGAAGATTTACTGATAATGTAACAAGATTTTAAAGAGCAAATGATAATAATAGATTCTAGTTATAATTGCAATTTATGATATCTGCCATTGCTAAACAATCCATATAACAATTCTATATATTACTAGAATTGTGCTTGAAAAAGAATTTCTTGAATACTACTTGTATTACCTCATCATTTCTTTGAGCTTAAAGTAATATTTTTCATTTAATTTTAGGATGTAGCTGAAAAATGTAAATCCCTTGGAATTACTGCCCTACATATTAAGTTGAGGGCCACAGGTGGAAATAAAACTAAAACTCCTGGACCTGGAGCCCAAAGTGCTCTTAGAGCTTTGGCTCGTTCAAATATGAAAATTGGACGTATTGAAGATGTTACTCCAATTCCATCTGACTCTACTCGCAGGAAGGGTGGTCGCCGTGGTCGTAGATTGTAAAATGTTTACTTTTTTATGTTAAGTAAAATAAAAATTTAAAACAAAAAAGTTGCCGTTTTATATTACATCCTATTTTTTCCTTCAAAACTGTTGAAAAACATACAAAAATAAGATAATAAATAAGCAAGTTTATTAAAAAAAAACAATAGTAGTTATATAATATTAAGCACTGGTAATAAATATGAGCATAAGCAAGCACTTTCAGTGTACAATATAAAATGTAGTTAGTAGCATTAATGCTCCAACTAAAAATATACTAACGCGATAAATATCTTAGAAAATAATTTTAAACTAGCATAAAAAAATTATGAAATTCAAGTATAAAATAAAAGCTAGTCTTAATCACTCAGATCCAACTACTTTGCCTAATGTTAAAAACACCCTAACTTTATGATCATACTTCTGAGGTTGTTTATTTTCTACGGCAGGTGGTAAAACATTTGTATAAATATGCTGCATAGTAAATCCACACACTACCTCATCCCCCAGTTTTAAATCTGCTCTAGGAGTTACTGCTAATTTTACAAAAGCTTTATTAGATTTTCTCCATTTTATTAACCTAAAAATTTAAAAAAAAATTAATTGTTCAAAATTCTAACAAAAATATGTCTTACTTTGGATCATCCTCAAAATTATGGACTTCAGAAGAATCATCATACTCAGCAGCGTCGTCTCTGGGCGGTAAAATAAAAGAACTTTCGGGTATAGCAACATCGCAGTTAGTTTCTGTGAAAATTTTGCGAGGTTTAACTATTACTGATGGAAGTCGAGGTAAACTAAGGAGACTGCTTGGTTGACTACCCGAAGAATATGGAAGAGAAGGCAGAGACATAGGTTGCTTCTAAAAATATAAAAACGGTAGTAAATGTAATAATAATTACAGATAACACAGGTTGAGCCAAGATGTTTGGAACAAGAAATCTAATATAGAGCTTGTTCTGAACACTGTTTCACCCTATATATCTATAGTACCTCCTGCAGAGATAATGCTTGTTCTAAATTCTGTGTCAAATCAATTAATTTCTGTTCCTCAACATATTGTGCCTGTTCATCCAAATCTAGATCCAAAATTGTAATAGTTGTTTGATATTGTGTAGGGTTGGTAAATTTAATAATCAATTCAACTGTCTGGCCAGCTCTTAATGGCTCCACCGTTACAAATCTTACTTCTGGTATATAACAACTGAAATCAATAACATGATAAAAAGATACTAGATAAATATACCATATGATCGAAAAAAAACGGCGTCCAGTTGGCTTGGAAATGACGATCCATGCCATTCCCTGTATAATTTTACATATAAAATGACAGCGATCTTCATTTCATAGCCATCGTTGACGCCGTTTTTATTCGATCATACGGTACAATCAATAGAGAACATACTATGCCAACAGCTGAATCTTAAATTTCACAGAATTCGGGTTGTATTCTGGTTTACTAACATTGTGTTCACATGTACGACATCTTAATGACTGTTTAATGGACAGCTGCTTATGTACTGGGAATAATTTGTCTACAGTTAATGGTTGACATTCTGGTTGCATTAATCTTTGTTCGATTGTGGTGACTTGCGAAAATATTAGTAATAAGTATAAACCTAATGATAATGAAACTGTATTATTAAAATACCTTCCATAAGTTTGATGGGTTCTGTAAAAATACTCTCAGGTAATTCATCAACTTCAGCTTTAGCCACTGCAGGCTCTGGTGGTTTGGGCTTCTTTAGCATAGCATGTGGAATATCTGGCAAACCAATACGTTTTCTAAGAGCTGAAGCAGTGACACCAGTTTTATCCTATAAAAAACAAAAATTTGATAACCTGTTATTGAAAAATATATAATAGGGCTTACTGTATAGCTAACAAATTTTCCTCTTTGCTTCCTCTTATCACTTTCTTTCTGTTGTTTCTCTGAATGCATGATTTGCTTGTATGTATCAAGAACCTCTTGAAGGCGATTAATATGGACATTTTCACGTTCAGGCCATCCACCAGTGGCTAAACGAAATTTGAATTATTGACCCATAATACACAACATTAATTTTAATTTCATATACCTGATGGCTGGTCAGGAATTCCCACATCTCTCGAACTCCACCGACAAAAATAGCAACTTAAGTAGTAAGTCTTCTTGATTGGTGATTTTGCATCATCAGGGTTAGCTGGTCCTTTTGAAGCAATTCTCGTTGATAATTCTTGCTGGCAACTGGGACAAATAAAGCAATTTGCACACCTATTTTTCTTAACTCTTGCCTCAGCAGAAGGTATATTTTCCGAACATTTACCGCAAAATATTGAGTCTACCTGAATTTATAAAACAAAATAAGTTTATAATCGTAAACAAAATAGACATCAAATACTTACCTCATGACAAACGCAAAATCTGCAACGAATTTGAAGGCAATGCTTGCAAAAATATAGTTGTGGGATAGGTTTTAACAAACCACAAGTGCAGGCATATTTCACCACATCAGGGCCTGTTATATAAGACATATTTTAGTAATTTAAGACATAAATTAAATATCTTAATCTGATTTAATGAATATTCACTGAATTGCTGAAAATACTTTGCACTCCAAAACACAGAAAACACGTCATATACAGCTGTAACTGACAGTGACATATCTGACCTTTGATTTTGACCATAGAAAAAGGATTTTGACAGAGAATTATTAGTAATGTGCTAACTACTGATTATCGATAATGGCTTGATAAAAATCTAAGATAAAAATAATGTATTCAATTCATTGTACCTTTTTTCTGGGTAATGAAATAAAAATTTTGTCTCGTTTAAATTTATTTTATAACATAAAAAAATGGTATATTGCTAAAGAAATTTGTATTAACAATATTAATTACTGAACGATTTCAAAGGGTACTTTTCCTTATAATTTTCTAAGTGTTTCTTCATGTCGGCTTTTTGTTTCCTACAAAATAAATCAAAATTAATTTTATGAATTGCATGAAAAATAAGAGAACTTTACTGGATGTGAATAGGTATAAATTTATAAACATCATTATACATTTCTGACCATTTAGGTTTAAGTTTCTTCTCTCCTGCATTAAAAGCTAAGAGGACGTCTTTTCTTGATTTTTGTAAAAATTGTTTTTCTTTATCTTCATCCCACAATCCTTTAGATTCTAGATATAATCTAAATTTCTTAGTTGGATAGTCGTTATTAGCCCAGTCTAAAACCTCGTCTTGTGATCTATATGCAGAACTGTCATCCGATGTTGAATGATCACCAACTCTAGAAATTTCAAAATATAAAAATATATTTCTTCTACTTTATCTTTCTAAAATAATTTTATTTTAATTGGTAGTTAAATAAACATTTTATCTCTAGATCTAAAAGTGCAAATACCGGGTGCGTCTCAAAAGAGGCTCACCCCCTATAACTTTTTTATTTTTTCAGAAAAAAACGAGATTTGGTTATGTAAGTATATGACATAAATTTGGATTGATTGACGTATTCAATTGTTTTCGGTCACTTCCTGTTTCACCGGATATTACTACAATTTTTTATTTTTAAATGGCGCCCTCGGTATTTTGTTACTTCATTCGATAGAAAATTACAATCTGAATAGAATGACATATTATCATATGTCAATTTTGACATTTCCGAATATGGTTTATTTGAAACTGTTTCCACACTCCCTGTTTCACCGGAAATTACTACAACTTTTGATTTTTAAATTATCGCCTCGGTATTTTTTTACTTTATACCATAGAAAATGACGCTCTGAATCGAATGACAAATAATATGTCAACTTTTGAAAAGTGCAAATACCGGGTGCGTCTCAAAAGAGGCTCACCCATAGGCTCACCCCTATAACTTTATAGGGGTTAATTAACTATATTAACTTATATATTCGCTCGAAAACAAATTGTATTTAAAATTGCAATCTAGAGTGCCATGGCTGTATTAAAAACACTAATTTAAACTTTAATCTAGGAGCCTTGGAAAAATAGATTTGATCATCTAATGTTTTTAATGTCTTGTCCTGGCCAGTTGAAAGATGCCCAAATCCTATTTTTAATCATATCTCAATTTTTTCAAATGGAACGAGGGTGGCTCATTAGTATATTTGGAAAAACCATTTTTTTACAAATAATTTGATGCCACACATTTGGTATTTCGAGTCAAATTGTCATTATGAACCGCATGTAACAATTTCAAATAAACCATATGCGAAAAGTTCCGGCAATAGCGCGTTGAGCATCTGTAGATGTTTATTTGAGAATTTTGTTTAAGTGCAAAGCTAAAGTATGTACGAGAATGTATTTTAGGAAAATATTTTAACTTCTATAGGGTGGTTCTTCCTATAGTATAGGGTAGTCTTTCTATAGGGTGGCTCAAGAAAGTGTAAGTGGATCGGGATGATTTTTTTTTAAATGGAACACCCTGTATATTATTGCATTTTTGGCTTCCTTTCAAATCACTTTACATAATCCTAAGATATGAGAGAGAATTCTATTTCTATAATTTCAGAGATATTAATAAATAAATAAAAAATATATATACTTTTAAACCTTCACACAGGGTGTTCAAAATTCTAGGCTAAACTTTCTAAAATATAAAATAATTTTTCTTGTTTTTTTTAATGGAACACCCTGTATATTATTTTTTATTAGTGTGTGAGTTAATTTGTTTTGTATTTAAAGTATTTCAAAATTTTTAATGGTTTCGCTGATACACATAGAAAAATCATTGGGTGGCTTTAATAGAGATTTACTGTGGAAAATGCCATATGAAATATAAAACCGCGAATATCTGCGGAACCGTTAAAAATTTTTAAATATTCTGAATACAAAAAATGTTCATATTTTAATTCTCCATCTATTGAAAAAATCATATACCGGGTGTTATATTTAAAAAAATTGAAAGAAAAATTATTTTATATTTTAGAAAGTTTGACGCAGAATTTTGAACATTCTGTATGATTTACTATTACCATATTTATAACAAAGTAAGTACAGACCATCTAAAGTAAATACCTAATTTAGTTTTCATTGAAGACAGTTCTTGTATTTTTAATAATTGCCCGACGCACTATTGCGCCGGACCCTGTATATGTAGATAAATAGATATTTATTTGTCTTTACCTATAAGTTAATGCTTCGATTAAAACAGGTTTATTTTCCTTGGTAGCGTATTCCCTAGCCAATTGGGTAGCTTTGTAAACCGCTAACACATCATTACCATCTACTCGCAGTGTATGAATACCATACGATGGTCCTTTACTGGCTATACCATCTCCTCTGTACTGTTCCTCTACCGGCGTTGATATGGCATAACCATTATTTCTGATATGAAATATACTTAATAAAATATGTGTGTTTTGTTTGAGGGTGTACTAAATACAATTACCTACAAAAGAATATTACCGGACATTCAAGGGTAGCGGAAAAATTAAATGCAGCATGGGCATCGCCTTCTGAAGCGCTGCCATCTCCAAAATAACAAATTACAACTCTGTTTGTTCCTGAAAACGTATATAAAAAACAAATTCAACTCCTTTATTTTTACTAATACGTTTACATTTAAAAAACAGCGTCACAATGGCTTTTAATTGACGAAGAATTTTAATTTGTCATGCAGACTAGTGATGGGATAACTCGAGCGAAAATTTACTCGAGTACTCGATTATTGAAATAACAATGACATCGCTCGATTATGAACGAGCGATGCAAGTGTTTAATGTGACATACTCGATAAAAAGCCAAGCGAATTTTCTATATACATTGCAGGTAGCAAATTTATAAGACGTTATCCGTTGCGCATCTGAGTGAATTTTACAACCAAAATTTTACGATCTACATCGACAATGCTTTCAAATTAACTAAATCAAGCAAATTACTCGTCGCTCGTCGCTTGCTACTTGCCATTCATCACCGAAAGAATATGTGCTCTGCGCGCGCAACTTACTGCTTGGCGTTACGAGTACAACAAGCGACAAGCGACGGGCGAATAACCGTATTTTTAAATACGAGCGATATTTCGCTCGAGCGATCGCTCGATTATTGAAATCGCTTGAAACTCGAATACTCGATTATTGAAACTAATCGATTTTTCCCATCACTAATGCAGACCCCTATGCTATATTTGTTTAAAAATTGACCTCCAACTGGTCAAAAATATTATTTAAAATGAGACGTCAACTATTTCACGCAAATGTATTATATTGAGTAAAAAATACATCTGGTACTAGGTTCATTTCGATAATCTTTTGGTTCTTCAAGAATATATTATGAGAATGTCACAAATCTTAATTTAAATATACTTAACTCGCCAATGATAGTGCATAAAAAAACAATGATAGAATGAAAAAAGAAATAAAATGAAAATAATTCTTTACAAAAAAATAGGCTTAGTTTCTATTTATCTAAAATTAAAATTGTTTGACCACATATAAATTAATGTAGTTAATATTTATACCGGGTGCATCTCAAAAGTGGCTCATCCCCCTATAACTTTTTATTTTTTCAGATAAAAAAACGAGATTTGGTTTGTTACAGTATATGACATAAATTAGGATTGATTGGCGTATTGAATTGTTTTTGGTCACTTCCTGTTTCACCGGAAATATGATGACTACTACTTTTGATTTTTAAATGACACCCTCGGTATTTTTTTACTTTATTCGATAGAATGACCTATCATATGTCAACTTTTGATATTTTCGATTAAAACAAAATTTAATTTTAAAATTCAATCTAGAGTGCCATGGTTACGTTAAAAACACTAATTCTTAATCAAGGAGCCTTGGAAAAATAGATTTGACCGTCTAATGTTTTTAGTGTCTTATCCTGGCCAGTTAGAAAATGCTCAAATCGTATTTTTAATCATATCTCAATTTTTTCAAATGGAACGAGGGTGGCTCATTAGCATATTTGGAAAAAGCATTTTTTACGAATAATTTGGTACCACATACTTGGTATTTCGATTAAAATGTTCGTTACGAACCGCAAGTTATAATTTCAAATAAACCATATGCGAAAATGTCAAAAGTTGTCATATGATATGTCATTCTATTCAGAGTGTTATTTTCCATCGAATAAAGTAAAAAAATACCGAGGGTGCCATTTAAAAATCAAAAGTTGTAGTTATTTCCGGTGAAACAGGAAGTAACCGAAAACAGTTATTGAATACGTCAATCAATCCTAATTTATGTCATATACTAACATACCAAATCTCGATTTTTTAACTGTAAAAATAAAAAAGTTATAGGGGTGAGCCACTTTTGAGACGCACCAATACGGTGTATACCAAAAATTATAGAAAATAATATATTTACTATAAACCCTATGGTAATAGTTAAAAACGCATAAAGGTAGGTAAAGATATGTTTTTGACATTTTTTTTATAATTATGCTTGTTTTAAACTGCTTACCTTTCATCGCATATGCAGAACCTACTGCTTGGGGCATTTGGGTTGCAAGAGGACTAGAAATTGTAACAAAATTTAATTTTCTGCTACCGTAATGCACCGGCATTTGTTTCCCTTGTCCTACATCGTCGATGTTTCCATAACATTGATCTAAAACATTAAGTTTCATATGATCCACCTGAAGAAAATTTTAATGTAAAATATCTGCAAAATATACCATATAAAGATTGAAAAAATTATTAGGATTTTAAGATGGCGATGCGATGAACTTCCTTGATATGAGTTGCGATAGAGGCAAACAAGGAAAATCAATGTTAGTGATTACAATAAATTAAAAAAAATAAGGAATATTTGACTGAAGTTTATAAGCGACAAAAATTCGAACAAAACCAGTAAATTGAGAATGAACATGAGACAATGAGGATTGATTGTCCTCCACTTACCTACAAATTCTTGCAAGCTAAAACCTCTATACAATAACACACCAGCTTCTCGATATTGCCCATACACCCAATCTTCGATATTTAATGCCGCGGCACTTCCAATGTGTGTAGCTTCTTCTCCGTAATTCGTCATATAAAAAGATATTCTCCCCTGTCTGAAAAAAACAAAATACAACTTATTCTTGACTCATGTTCAATTAAAAATCAGAAGACAGTAATAATATTTTTTTCTAAAGTTCTCAATACCAAAGGTCCCTGATAGTTTGCCTTATTTCTGCTATGATTAAACTAAATCAAGAGGGAATAAATCTTGTGGTCCTAATATACCTCCAATCATTACTAAGTACAGCAATAACGTGATGTAGACTGAGTAAGAGGGAAGGGGGTTAATCACCGCGACCTCAGAGATCTATTGTGTCCCCCTTTCATGAAAATAGAGCCTAGTACTGAACCCTGAGGAACACCTCCTTCTATAGGCTCGCAAGAAGACATAGACGTATAAATCCTCACAAGTTGCCTTCTGTTGCCAAGATATGACTTAAACGATTCGAGCGGCACTCCCCTGAATCCATAGTATTGCAATTTGTTAATTAAGATATTATGATTTACACAGTCGAAAGTCTTAGAGAAATAACAGAAAATTGTAGCTGTAGAGTGATGGTTATTCAGGCTAGAGTATACATTATTAAAAAGGTCGAACATAGCTTCAGTTGTGCAACTGTTACTTAGAAATCCAAATTGATGGGTAGTATAAGTACTTTATATTTCAGTAGAAAAGATAGAAGCCTTTTTTTAACCAATCTTTCAATGATCTTAGATAATGTGGGCAGGAGTACCCGTGAGGTGGAGGCTGGAGGATCTGTCTCCATTTTCTCCACTACTTTAACTTGGTTTGTCCTTACTCCTTAGACTCGATACTGGTGTTGTCCCGAATTTATAATAGATAATATATCCCTCTTTCTCTAATGCTCCTTGAATTTGAGATTAATTACACCGCAAGGATTAGTTGGCCCACTTCTATACAGCGTGTAAGCAAGTGAAGTAAGGGAGATGATAATACAATAGGCTTCTCCCTGGTGCCCCAAGGTTGAGACCAGTAGAGACTAGTCTTATATCTAGCCATGCATCCCTTTGACCTGGTCCCGCCATCAAGGGATTAAGGTTTTTGGTGAGGTTGTCTCTTTTTGATCCGGGCGGTTAACCTAAGACCCCCACGCTCTCTCCCCGTGATACATAACCACAGAGAGTAGAGAATTCCTGGTATGACGGACAGGGTAGTCCCATCCGGCATCGTTATACGTCTTGGTGCAATTCCCTTGGTCACGACACTACAGCCGGGGACAAGACAATGAGATGCTCCTTAGGCACAGCCAAAGTGCTAGAGGGGATTCCCCCTAGCACCCTGATTAGGAGCTTTCCCACCAACGACAAGGTCTCGCATCTTTTAGAGGAAGAATATATGTGATACTCACCTTTGAGATTCGTATAATATTTTATCCATAACATTCAACAGACTCATGTCATGATACATTTTTAATAACAATTCGTTAGATAACTGTGGTTCTTCCGCAGGATCTAAAATATTTCCTTTTGAATCCATCACTCGGTAAACTGGTATTGGCGCGTACGAATTTTGTTCTGTAAATTGTAGCTTTTGTGTCCATGATGTCGTAGCACCAGGAAATTTTGGCTGAGTATGTTTAGATTTCTGAAAAAAACAGTACTTCAGAAATTACTATATTTAGTCAGGAAACTAAATTGAAGATTATACTTATTATATTTTTCATTAAATAGGTAATTAAAAAAAACGGTTTAACGTTAAACGTCTGATGATAATTCTCTTATTTTCTTCTACAGACTTGGTGCATTCTCCGCCGGTGCTGCCACCATCAGAGAATATCGTAAACAGCTGGTATATGCAAATACACGGGTTTACACAGCGAGTATACGATATTTTTAATATTTAATTATTCTAAAAGTGTAGAAAGTATAATTTGTAAAAATTCTAAAAATAAAAATAAAAAAGTAAATATTTTATTATTTTCAGAAGGTCTAACTTCTATTATAATTTATTATTCCAGCTAAAAAACCTTCTCGATGAGTTCAACCAAATTCAACTACGGTAGCGAGCATAGTTTTACATGGTTTTACCCTTGATAATATATAAACAAGGGTTTTACGCACCAGTTTTGCTAGTGAGGTCATAATTGGGGCATCTCGGCTATAACGAAATTATTTAAATGTACATAATTATAATTTTAGAAGATAATTATAATTTTAGAAAATTTAATCACTAGTTGCTACTAAAGTATAATACTAACATAATAATACCTACATCTAGAAATGGTAATCTATCGTTGTTCTCAATTTCATAGGTAAATTTAATGGAAGAAAAACGATTATTTAATTTAGAAATAAAATTATCTATACTAAAATTGAAATGTCATTTCTATGTCTACTGTGACATTACTTTTATTTGGCCATACGGTGTATACCTAAATGATGAATCTGAATGTATACGACAATACACTTGTTATAAATTTTGAAATTTTAGACAATTTTCAATGCTTTTTCAATGTCATGATTTAGACTATCCGTACCTAAGTATTATATTAAAAATATTTATTTAAGATTTACTCATTTTACACAGACAATTTATCTCATTTTGTAGATTTGTAAGATATTATTTACAGAGTTAATACTATTTCTGTTTGAAAATTATATATGTACTAGTTGAAGCCTGGCGCCATAAACCTGGCGCATCCGCCACTACATCAGGAAAAAAAAATACTTTTTATTTTTTTTTAATTAAATCAAAAACAAAAAATTCGGTGACGACAGTTTTAAGAAGAGTCAATTAGCTATCTTTTAGTAAAAAAAGCAACTTTCTAGAGCAAGTCGTTACTTCAGTAGAGACGACACAGATAAACATTAGCATTTTATATATTACATTAGATATTGATATTAATTTTTATGTTGCATTTTCTTGAAATTTATAAAACTAGACCAAATTAGAAACTTCCAATTTCCAAATACCTAGTAAATTTTATTTCAAATGCGAGAACATCTATTTTAAAATGATTTTTAAATGCTATTAACTTTTCTAAATAACGTAGCTACAATGTATAAAACAATTTATATTGGAATATAAACAATAGTTGTTTTTTAATTAAGTTTTAATGTATATTTTACCATGTTAAGTGAACTTTTGGTATTTTAAGTAGATAGTTTCGTTTAAGTATTCGACAAAATTGCTGTAAATATATCTAAAAACTTACATGTAATATCAGTCTTTGATTCGATAAACACTGAGAAATCACCCGAAATGCACCATTAATACTATATTTACTTAAAGCCATTTTAATGTTTTTCAGTTATATTTCATTCAGGAACGAATATAACAGGTCATCCACACATTTCTTTTAAATTTACTGATTTACTAAGTGTATTAATGAAGTCAACCGGATGATAAGCGCATTGTTGTTTTGTATACTACCACGGAATACAGGGGTGATCCAAAAAGTATATATTATATCTATTATTATTTTCTTTTAGTCGAGTCATCTTAGAAATTACGCTCGATGTCATTTTATACTTATTTAAAATTATATGATCTGCACATAGTTCATATTATGTCAATCTCATCAGGTTTAAATGCCTGTTGAGCTTGCAATGCCCTCTTAGTACAGAGTGAGCCAACGATAAAGTCAGAGATAGAATTCTTTATTTCATTAGTTTTGAAAATGATTAAAAAATGTTAAATAGAAAAGTTGTAGAGAAGGTTAAGACGCAGATTTTAAAATTATTACAGAGTATACAGGGTGCTTTAAAAAATGTAGCGGATATAATAAATGTTTTTTTAATGCAACATCACATTTTTTATTTTATTATTAAATTCTGAATAAAAAATAAATGTTATACCTAAAATTAATAGTTTTTGTAATATTTCAATTTGTTTAAACAAATGTTAGATGTCAGTGTCGTAAAAAATTGTCAGTATGCTATTGTTTCTGATGTTGGAGTACTAAAATTTGGTAGGATAGTTTTATAGAGATAAAGAAAAAGATATATGTAAAGATATTAGAGTTAGTTAGTACAGTGTGTAATATCTATACAATGTTTTTTAATTATTTAATTTAATTTTTATGAAATTTCATGTAAAGATTATAATCAGAAATATGTTGAACAAACTAGGAAATCAATATTAACTAGATTTAAAGAACATTTGGCTCTATATAAGATATGGTAGACCGGATAAACCTTGCGTTGCTCAACATATTGTTGATAAAGAACCTTGTATAAATATTAATAATTTAAAATTAATTAAACAAATCTCAAATTACAGGCAATTATACGCATATGGGAGTGTCAAAATTAATAAATGTAAAGATAGTATGAACAGAGACAAAATGGTCCAACTTCTTTCAGTTCTCTGTTCCTACTGCTCTAGTTTCGGTAATTAATTGTTACTCTCGCTTGTATATAAACACTCAATTTGTAGATATTAGTTTAGTTTTAATCATCTGCTGATGATGCTAACATAGTTAGCGCAACGTGCATCCAGTGCAAAAGTTAAAATGTTTTGGTGTATTGTGGTAAATTAGTGTTTTATTTTGATTATAGATAGGTTTACCCAATAGTGCTTTTCCATTTAACATTTTTTTGGAAATCAAAACAAATGAGATAATTTACTTTACCCTATCGTTGACTCACCCTGTACACCAATTACAGTTTAGGCAATTGTCCTGTCTATGCTTATCAGATACACCACTCTGCAAAAGCGGTAGTCTGAAAGAAAATCTATATTGCATTTTTTTTTTAAATTTATATAGCTATATTATATATTTAAAATAATATCAGTAAATATGTATTGTATAAGGATTAGTAATAATATAAAAAATAGATTCTTCTATAATATATACTGCTACACTTCTTGTACTACTATTTGAACTACCCTTGTATATGGCGCTTTGATGTTACCAATTGTATGCTTTATCACTTGTTAAGCAATCTAAAATATATTGCGGTAATACAAGAAATAATATCGTCATTAACATGTTTATTTAAACCTAAATTTCATCAGTTTGTGGATAATAATCAGATAATAATATACCTAACTAATAAGAAGACGAAATAATATAATATTTTATATCTCAAAGTATTTTAAATTTTCTAGTTTAACGATACTTTGATAGTCGATCATAAATGCATGCATAATTAAAACAGCTAAAAATAGATATCCAATTTGAATAAATGCCGATTTTCGATAAACAATTTAGTCAATATTTATTAATATACATTTTAATGGCCAATATTATTTTTGAAGCAAAAGAATAGAAATAACTTCGGTTACAATATTTCAAACAAAAACATCTTTTTATGACATTTTAATTTTTTTTTCGAAAAATATTACTATATACAAGATCACCCAACGTTCCAAAACAGTTTTACATATATCCGATATTCTTTTTTGAGATTTTAACTCAAATTTTATTTTTCGAAAGTCTGCGAATTTCTGTTCGTTACGTGTGTCACTAAAAGTAACATTAGCAGTTCTAAGAAAAATTAAGTAAGAGTTAAAACTTCAGAGGAGATTATTCAAGATGAATTTGGGAACACTACAACGGATCTCTGGAGATTTAGGGGGGGGGGCATTACTTGACGTTATTTTTTGTAAAAGTGAAATCAATATTTTTCAACATTTACAGTAAAGAGTACAAAATGCATTCGGAAGTAGAAGAAGATATGTTCAAAGAGCTATAATAGTTATTAATGATACAAGTTCGATACGAACATCATAATGAAACGTGTGTAACGTTAAGCCACGAGGCGTCAGCCGAGTGACTTAGTTACACAAATTTCATTAAAAAGTTCGTATCGAACGTGTATCATTCAAAATTTAATCTACGACGCGTCACGAGGGACGATCCAAATTGATTTGATTTAATTTAAAATATCAGAGATATCCTCCTAAAAATTATAATTCAAAATTAAGAGGTGCCCATTGCCCATATTAGTCGATGACGCCGTGGTAACCGTGCTTGTTGATTGTTTCCATTTTGACTTTGACAACTCAATTACTGATGTTCAATTTTGTGTTAAACGTTCAGATTTAGCAAAAAGCAAAAAATAATATTAATATGGGTGATTCTGATTCTGAAAGTGTCCCTTCGGATATTGAAGGCATTGCGCAAAATGTTGTCGATTCCCTACTTCCCGAAAAATCAAGACAAACGTACGAGCAAGCCTATGTAAAACTTGAAGATTGGTGTAAAGGGAAAGGAATCAAGAATAGGTAGTAACGAAAAGGTTCTCCTGGTATATTTTGAACATCTTTCAAAACATAGGAGGCTTCATCACTTTGGCTATATTATTCCATGCTACGTTCATTTATATCAGTGAAGAAAAATAGAGATATTAGTAAGTACGTCCATTTAATTGCATTTCTAAAAAGAAAATCGGAAGGATTTCGGTCAAAAAAATCGAGAATTTTAAGAAAAGAAGACAACTCGTTTTTTGTGCGAGAAATGGAAAATGTATTAAGCAACCCGTATGCAGTAATACTTTAGGGAAAATGCCGAATAAAATAGCATTGTTCCTAAGTCTTCCAAATCCACAACAATACACTGGATATTGTTTCCGTAGATCGTCTGCGTCGTTGCTTGCAGATTCAGGAGTGGATTTATTAACTGTTAAAAGACATGGTGGCTGGCGCTCTAACACAGTGGCCGAGAGCTATATAGAAAATTCTGGCAACATTCTGGAAAATTCTGCGTAACATTTCTGGCAATGATGGGTCTTCAACAAGTTCAAGCACTCAGGAAATAAATTTACTTTCTAAAAATTCAACTCACCTGTCATCGTCTGGAATTAATTTAACCAATTGTACTGATATTATAACTAATGTTTACAATAAATAAACGTATTTAGGTACCTTTTGTTGCTTGTTTCTTATTTTAAAATTTGCGTGTTATTATGAATTCATAATAGCACTAGTGCTATTATGAAAGCCATAATGGACATCCAAATGACAATGTTAAATGTGTCATAATGACATTGTCGTAGATTAATAAATTTAACGAATAGTAAATTTATGCAATAGGGAGGCTGAACCCTTTCGAACATGTAGAGCATCAGAAACTAGTTTGTAGAAGTTGATTTTTTTACAATAACTATGATTAATATTATGCATATTATTAGATCGTACACTGAGATTTCAAATTCACAATAAAAAAAGTTAGAAATAATATTTTTAATTTGCTGACCTGGATATTATTTATTTGACTCTTTCAATTAGCTGGATTTTCCTTATTAAATGTTAATTAGCGCTGATCAATATTGTTGCGGTGAATATAATCATCAGATTAAATAATTTAAAAAACCGAGTCGGACTTAAATAGTTTTGTTGTTGTTAAGGTACCCAAAACAAAAAAAAATATAAAGTATGGCATATCGTTGTATTCAGGAAACCGAGTTCTTTCAAAACCTGAAATAAAAAGTGCAGGTCCGTATTTAAAAAAATTAGGTTGCCTCTGTATCTCACAAATTCAGCTAATTTGAATATCTAAAAATACTATCAGTTAGCCCCATTGAATAAGAAGACTAAGGAAGGAGCATATCAAAAATCTTAGGTACACCGCGATGGGCCTCAAATATGGCCGACTTAAATTCCGGTTTATCAGTGTCGTTCTAATTTTATTTAAAAAATGTAAAACTATGATGTAGGGTAGACGTGGGGTAGACTCAATAATTTGTTGTTTTATTTTACGTTGTGAATAAATGTTGGTAGTTATTAAAATTGTTATAAAAATATATAATTCTAATAAAAATAGATAAGTTATAATAAGTATTTATTAACACAAACATCCGATACGCTACTGAAGCAGGTAAGTCAAATTAACGTATCTAAATTCTTTGACATCTAATCTTTGACAAGTAATAAATAAAAGCTAAAAATGCAAGGAAAATATATAATTTAGTTAATTTAAGTGAATTTCATAAATGATCGGTTTACTACACGTATGTATATTATATAGTCACTTACTAGCGAAAAGTTGTTCCATTATTTCACTCAATTTTTGCCGAGATCTACCGCACGCTACACAACCAACTATTTTAGAGTATTTTTCGATAAATCGCGATAGTGTCACTGTTAATTTAAGTTCTGCCACAATTTCCATCTAGATTTACTACCTTTATACAACTATCAGTAGTAGAATAAATAATAAATAACATAAAATAAGCTCCGTAAAAACTGACAAATCCACAAAATTTCAAATCAAATTCAAATGTGTCAAATGAATCGTCAAACAGAACTGTCAAGGATCCCCACCCTAGAGAGCTTTTATGGTGGCTTTTCCGCCCACCATGCATGAATACATGGATAGCATTATGCTCCTTCCTTAGTCTTCTTATTCAAAAGTTAGTCCTAATAAAGTGGCTTTGAGATTGTACAATTAGTTTTTTGATTTTCTAAAAAGTAACGACAAGAAAAAATAAAATTGATTTTCAAAATAATCCGTTTTTTGCAAAAAAACAGCAATCCTTGAAATTTTTAAAACTTTTGTGATGACATCTTGATGAACATCCCAAGGCGCAACTTTGCCCCAATTTAACCATGTTCGTACCTATTACGGTTTCCGAGATACCAATGTTCGTAACTCGAATTTGTAGCACCCTGTATAGACCAACTGGTGAAGCTGGTCCATTATAGTTCTTGTTTTATTAAAATGGAATTAAACAAATATACTTCAAACTTTCTGAGTTGCTTAAAGAGACTCTAAGAACAACTATTAAAAAATCTTGACAAATAAGCTATTATTAGTGAAAATATGAATAAGTTTGTAAAAATCTGAAAATTTTTGGGCTATGGAATGTTTGCCTGGTTTTTTTTAACATGACACATGACAAAATTCAAACAAATTCCAAAATGTGCTAGCTGTCGATTCTACCTTTTAAATGAACTTTGAATCATCAAAAATAATTAAATTTTAGCTGAATTATTTAACAATGTGTCCTCTCAATCAATGATACGATTATGAAAGTTAAACTTTTTAAGACGTTAAGACTTGGAGAGAAAATTCAGGGATCTTCGAGGTGGAACATCTCGAAAACTACTAATTATACGTAATAAATGATAAGGACCATTCCTATAGGTACTAAGCTTCATTTTTTATTAAAAAAAAATTTTGTAAATTGCATATTTTGGCAGATATTTGCGAAAAATTGATTTTTCGGCCATTTGGGACCATTTTTTCGGCCAAAGCTGGCCGAGCACGGTGTTACAATTTTCCTCCTAAAATTACTTCCCAGAAGGTACACAATCCGCCTAAAAAGTAATGGTCGACGAATTAAGCCGAGAGTTGGGTCTTTTCGTGTTTTCGTTTGGTCTTATTTACTGAACCATAAATCAAATCTTTGTTAACTTACAGGATTACAGGAGAAAAAAAATACATGTAGTTTTGACACCCTATATAATATACGATAATCTAGTATGATTAGTCTTGTACAGATGCCTAATAAACACACCAGAAAAATATAGGGATGTAATTTTATTAAAGTTAAAAACAAATGTTTTGAATAAACAACCACATATTTCTAGGCCCATTCTTTATGCTTCGATTGAAACGATGTGGTCACACTTGTTATTTCTAAATTTCGCATATTTTCAGAAGTTTTTGTGCATTTTTTGTCAAATGTATAAAAGGCACCTATCATCAATTGTTCGAATTTAACCTGTACTGGCTATGTTTTTATGATAACTGGCCAGAATTCATTCAAATAACTTTAACTTATTAAACAACGTTATGGAGCGTAGACATCTTAACAGAGACGAAATGCTAAGGGCTGTGGGTATGCTCGAAGCTGGAATGCGCCAAATCGACGTAGCTAGAGCATTAAATACAACGCAAAGTGTAATATCGCGATTAAGTGCACGCTAATGTGAAAGTGGTGATGTTGGTGAAAGGCACACAGTGCGACATCGCATTACTACCCCTCAGCAAGATCATTTTTTACAATTAAATGCTCGACGCCGACCCACTCTTTCAGCACCAGAGCTTAGTTTAATTCTCCAGGAAACACATAATATAACCGTTAGTACTGACCTCTATGGTCCTGACACTGTTCGCAATAGATTAAGAGAGGTCAAGTTAAGAAGCAGACGCGCCTGGAGAGCTCAACCCTTAACGAGAGGAAATCGAGAGGTACGTGATTTGTGGGCTCAAGATCATGTTCAGTGGTCAAATGAACAATGGGCCAATGTTCTCTTCACGGATGAGTCACGCTTTGAATTCATCCGGATTCGAGAAGGCTTAGGGTATGGAGAGAACCAGGAAATCTTATTCAGTTGGATCATGTTCAGGAAGTGCACCCTTATCAAGGTGGAACAATTATCGTCTGGGGAGGAGTCCAGTTAGGCGGAAAAACCGATCTCGTTTTTCTTGAAAGATTTCTAATAGGAATCACATACCGTGATTTAATTCTTGAACCTGTCGTGTTAGCATATGCCAATGATTTTGGGAAAAACCTCATTCTCATGCATGACAATGCACGGCCTCATACAGCCAGAGTGGTAAGTGAGTTTATCAATGCTCATCAATTAAACATCTTATCATGGCCTGCTCAATCTCCTGACCTCAACCCCATCGAGCACGTATGGGGACACGGTCCAAAGAAGAATTTTGAGAACGGGTATGCCTCGTGAAACTCGTAGGGATCTGGTTCGGGCCGTGAATGCAGCGTGGCAGACTGTACCTCAAAAAGAGATCAACAACCTGATCAGGAGCATGGAGAGACGATGTGGGGCTGTAATGAACAGTAGAGGAGGCCATACCCTTCATTAAGTACCATTTGTTTATTTTAATTTTATTATATCAGAAATGCAAAAAATAAATTTACTGACGATGGCTGGATAAAATTGTAATATCCCTTGACATTTCCGGTGTGTTTATTTCAAAAATGACTTAGTATAGATTATATGACATCATGAAAATGTAAAATTTGCAACAACTGCTTTAGAAAAACTGTTTTCAGAGAAATAAGTAAACTTTTTGAAGTGAAAATTAGATATAGTGCTTTTTCTGAAGAATGGATCATCCTGTATTGGTGACACGAATAAGATATAAAGCAGTGAATAAATAGGACACTCTATGGTCCTTACTACCCTAGAAACCCTGATTCATGACCCAAAATGTCCATCATTATTACATGCAACCGGCGCGGCGTCTCCCAGAAAACAAAATCATGAATTTTTAAACTGACCTTTAACTAGCCTCAATATACGTACATAAAAATAAAATATTTCTCAGTTATACTTCCTAGGCAGTTTGAGTATAATCAAAACCGCAGGTTTATTTTTAATATGAGACATCTGTTCCGATATATAAAATTCATATTTTCATTTTCTGAGGATATTGAATGTAAAAAACTAATATTTCTTGGTGGAAAAGTGCATATAAAAGGAAAGACACATGCGATTATGGCTGATATTGTTATAAAATGTTTATAAATGTGGTTGTTGCATTGTGTTTTGTATTAAATGTTGTTAAAAGTGAAACGTTTCCTTCACTGTTGACTACAAATGCTACAATAGGTAGGTATAATATGTATATTAGTTTTAATTTTAACATACTATCTTTGTATAATGTTAGCCTCCTAGAGATACTTGGATTAATATCATCATCATCAACATCATTTTCAGTTTATTCAACCATTTTCAATTGTGGTGTAGCCTCCCTCTCGTCTATACTAATATACATATGTATAAAATCCTTAAGTGACTGACATACTGATTAATCACGATCCTGCTCAAACCACTCAACGTAAGAAGTTCAATTTTGGCATACAGGTTGATTCTAGGGTGTAGAGGTTCGATAAGAAGGGATTTTTCGAAATTCCAGTTCCAAGAGGGTGAAACCACCCCTCAAATATTACAATATTTTTGATTTAAAAAACGGTCAAATTTCCGAAAATACGCTTAAACACGTATATTTTATTTTGTTTTTTTTACATATTTTAAGATTTTTTAAAAATGTATACAGGGTGTTTCGAAAAATCTGGTCATTGATTAATTACGATCCTGCTTAAAGCGTTTGACGTAAAAAGCAAAACAGATTGACTTTAGGGTGTAGATGTTCGATAAGAACGGATTTTTCGAAACTCGAATTCTAAGGGGGTGAAACTATCTCTCAAATATTAAAATATTTTTTATTTAAAAACCGGTGAGTTTTTCGGAAAAACTCTTAAACACGTATATTTTGTTGTTTTACATATTTTAAGATTTTTTATAAATTTATACAGGTTGTTTCATAAAATATGACCATTGAATAATCACGATCCTGCTTAAACTGCTTGACGTTTAAAGCTGATTTTTGGCAAACGGATTGACTGTGGGGTGTAGAGGTTCGATAAAGAGGGGTTTCGCGAATCTCAAATTCCAAGAGGGTGAACACGCCTCTCAAATATTACAATATTTTTTATTTAAAAAACGGTTAGCCTTTCGGGAAAACTCTTGGACAAGCGTAATTTATTTGTTTTTTACATATTTTGAAATTTTTTAAAAAATCATACAGGGTGTTCCAAAAAGTTGAGTAATTTCTTAACCACGACTCTGCTTAAACTGCTTGACGTAAAAAGCTTATTTTTGGCAAACGGATTTTTCGAAAGTCAAATTCCAACGAGACGAAACTACCCCTCAAACATTACCAAGTTATATAATAATATCGCCATATTGTTTTTTCTCATGCTGACATAAATGTGAGAAAATTTTATCCAGTTTGTATGTTAATGGAAATTCTTGCTTTACTTTATCATCACCATTACAAATGATTAATTCGACGCGAACGAAGTCGCTGGTACACGCTAGTATTTAGATACCTACTCTCTTTGTTGTTGGGTTTATTGTTGGCTATGGATCATCTCAGGTTCGGTCTTCTTCTAAGTCTCTTAATTCCATACTGTAATTTTTGTTATCCGTCCTTCTTGCCAGGTGTCCTACCCATTGTAGCCTAAGAGCTGGCGACATATTTAGAGAACATATTTTAGGCAAGTTAAAATAACAAAAAAAAAGTTTATTAACTAGTGAACCCAGAATCCTAAGTCGGGCAGGAGGTTTGCGGGTATTTTGCTACTGAGCAACCCCTTATATTTGCAAAAAAAAATAAATCCAAAAAATATCCTTTAGGCAATTTGAAATTTGTTTATTCTTAAATTTTAGCATCTAATCCAGAAATAAGTATGCCAGACTTTTTTTTCGGTTTTAAAGTGTAACCCGACCATCCCAAATATGTTTAATTATTATACCTCGAAAATATACTTTAGGCGTTCTAAAATTTTTACAGTGTGTTTATTAGATAATATTAAAAAATTTGTGTTAATTGCCAGACGAATTCAACGGTCTTTAATACTTGCCTGACGTGAATAAAGATTTTAAATGAGCGCGGCAAAAAAGTTTTATGAATATCTATAAGCGCGAGAGAGATAGTTTACTGAGACTCGTTGGCAGCAGACGCTGCTGACGTAACAGTATTTTACACTGTTTATTTTTTACTTTTACACTGTTTATATGCTATTATCTGTTTCATCAAAGTCGAGTTTAAAAATCCAATATATTTTCGTCATAATTACAATATTCATAATCAATTCATAATTACAATATTCATAATTAAAATTCATAATCAGTTATCTGATAATTTTAATTGTTACTTTAGAAATTATAATCAAATTATTGATTCACAAAAAAATCAAATTTGAATCAATAGAAAACTAAAATTTAAACAACTTTTTTTTTGTTACAGTTAACTTTTTTAATATGTTAAAAAAAAGTATTACAGAAAACTACATTCTCTCTATACAAATAGAGCCTTCTGTTGTTTTCGAATTTTTGATGTCATCTGTTTGTATCACAGATTCTGTGTGAAAAAGTACCTTCTCTCGTGGGATAAACTTTACCAGTATTAACATTGTACCCACCCTCAACCATCAGTTCAACAATAATCACAAAGTAAAAATTAAATATACAAGTAATAATTATTTTCAGCTATCGTAATAGATAAGGAGTATTTACCTACAGAATATGATGAAATTAAAAGTAAAATAGAAGAATATTTAGTTTATGCCAAAAGGGAGATATTGAGGCATGGAGGTGTAAACGTGCAATTCTATGCTTGGACAGCTATAAATGTAAAAAGAGGTATTTATAAAACAGAATAATAGGTACCACAGCATAGTCATTAGACAGCCATACGACCATTTACATGGAACCCTGCATACGAGCCTAGAAATTCCGTTATCTTATGTAACATGTCGAATTCTGAGGTCTAATGAAGCTCTATCAGCGTTGCCAGAAATTTTTGAGCGAATATCTTCAACGGTATTAAGCCTTAAAAAGGTTTATATCAACTTCACAAAAAAAATTAGATCTTGTGCAAAATCAACTAATTTCGTGTATTTTACCTATTTTATAATTAGGAAAAAAAATTAAAAACTTATTTCTGGTAATTTTTGGACACCGATGTATTTAAATAAACTTTTTATTAAAAAAAGAGCACTATCAAAAATGCTATCAAAGATGCTCGACAACAGTATTATAAAGTATGTTTCAAAAAATTCATTGCTTACAATGACTGCTTGAACCGAGAATAATTAATCATGCAAGACGCCATGATCAGCTAACTTATTTCCTATGTTTTCCGTTTACCTATTTATTTCTTTTCAACATCAAGAATTTTGGTTTAGTTATGGTATGTGTGTAATAAAACGTATTGAAATATGAAAATGTATCTATTAATTTTTTTGAAATGTTAAAATCTTTCTAATTGAGGACTTTTTGACAGCAACATTGCTTTAAACTGAGGCATCCCTAATTAAACACCATTAAAGTGAAAAAATAGATGCAGGAATAATAATAAATACTCCTACTACATATTTTAACAATTTTTTTATTTTACAAAACTGCCAGAAACCTTCATATTCTCTTCTTTTTGGATAAAAATCCTTCAGCCCTTCAATCGACGAAATTTGACTGTAAAATCCTTTTTATTGAAAGAAATCTTTCAATTCTGGCAACACTGAGCTCCTTTTATAAAAACCATAGAGACTGGTGCACTAATTGCCTTCAAGTCGACTGGCTGCCGAATAAAGAGGCTGTGGTAATACATACTTTTTTAAACAAATTATTTTTTGGTTTTCATCTAGATTTTTTCCGATCAGACAAGAAAGAGAGACAGAAATTTGGAATACCTTTAAACATTTAATAACATTTGTTAATATTAAACTAAATATAATAAAAATACATACTATAATAATTGTATTATTGTATTACTTTTATCTAACAGTTCATATAAGAACATTTTAAAAAGAATGAATATATTTTATAAAGTTGAAGTCTTATCATTGCTAATCTCCTAAATGAACCAAAAAAAAATCTTTTATATTATGTATAGACATATGACAATAAGTGTTATAAATATTGGTTAATATCTAAAAAGTGGAATTTTAATTAATTTTAATGTTTTTTTTCTTTTAAGATCTGACTGCCATACTTAGTATAACCTCTTGCGCAAAAACATGGGCATTATTTAAAGCTTCTGAAACTGAAAATCTATTACACATGGCTATATCAGGTAAAATAATGTATAATTTATTTATAAATATGTTGTGTAAAATTTGCTAATATTTCCAGAACAAGATTGTGCTAGATTACCTCAAAACGAAGCAATAACCATACCCATCATTGACAAAGGACAAGAAACTCCACAAATGTTATTAGATTTAAGAACGATTGGAGTGTACAAATGGAAGAAAATGATTATTATATATGACAATAAAGTTTGTAAGTACTCATAAATGTTCAGTTCATAGGATTCTATGTACAGGGTGTCCCATTTTCGTGTATCTTGCGGGTTTTTTTATATCACTTTACTACTTTTTTATGAAACTAAAGATGCCACACACAGATTCGTCCTAAGTTGCTTAGTTTCTGAAATGGAGAGCAAAATTGAAAATGTTACATTTTTTCGATCCCCTTCATATCTCGGTTATCTTATAATTTATCGACTAGGTGAAAACTCCCATAGAGTTTTTCTCATAGAATTCGATGGCGTAACTACATTTTATCCGGAAGTTGTCATTCTTGAAATATGACCCAAACTTATGTTTTTTTTTAATGGAATACGCTGGATACTACATTTTTATTTTATTTACCTTGTTCTGAACTTACTAAGGATATAAAATAATAATAAAGGTAAAAGATGCATTCTTTAAATGTTTAACCTAGATGGCCGGTTTAAAATAGGTAATTTAGTAATAGGTAAAATATTTTGGATATTGGCTATTCATCGCTAGTTCCTGTGTATAGAATTATTGCAAAAGTGCCTTAAAAATACAAATTCTGAATGAAAAGTTTATTTTCAGTGTAGTTTATTAAGATAGCACGATGGCAAGCAAAGTTATCTGGTTAAATTAAATTAAATAAAATGACAATACCCTTTTAAACTAGGTTTATTATGTTGAAAAGGTTTGTTTATGTTAATACATTGTTTATGAAAAAAGGAAAATAAAGTAATAAAACTAAGGTACAGGGTGTCCCATTTAAAAAAAATATAAGTTTGAGTCATATTTCGAAAATGACAGCTTCCAGAGAAAAATTAGTTATGCCACTGGTTTCTGCGTAACATACTCTACGAGATTTAGTTTTACCTTTTCGATAAGTTATTAGATAACCGAGATACAAAGGGATTCGAAAAATACAACATTTTGAAATTCGCACTATATTTCAGAAACCAATTTGGAAGAAATTTGTGTGTAGCATTTTTAGTTTCACAAAAATGTAGCAAAGTAATGTAAAAACCGCATCTTTGTATCTCTACTCATAAACGAGAAACCTCATAACACACGAAAATTGGACACCCTGTACTATCAAATATACCGTGCTGGCAACTGTTACTTTTGGGTCGGCATTTACATGTGTGGAAGTAAATCGCATAGGGATCTTATTAAGTCGGAGTGAGAGAAATGCGACCGAACGACGCGACGCGCGACGGTGTGCTATTGCAACGTTGCCGATACGCCTTTCCCTATCAAATAAAGTAAAATCACGATCGCAAACCGCTTATTTTTAAAAGACTTTTTTTTCAAGAGATAACTAGATAAAATCATTAGACATGTTTCTGAGCTCAGAAATGGAATTATAAGGATATCGTTAGGGTGTCATTTTTTTTATAACGAGAAAACGTCAGTAATCGCGATAATTTAAAAACTCAACTTTTTAACACATAACAGGCCATAACTCAAGAACCACTTTAGATATTGAAACTTTTTTATTTTCAAGATCGGATATTTTACGATATGTTTACATAAGAAAAATCCGATAAGGTTGTTTTTTCCATTCAAAAATTGTAAACAATCCATCCATTTACTTTTAGAGCATAGCAATTTTCAGCAATCGTGTAATTTTTTTATTGATAAAGATTTTCACATACTGCCTACAAAGAAAATACAGCAGAAATATTAACAAAGTTCTTGAAAAAACTACAATCCATTATTTGTAATAGATTTCAGGATATCGATTTTTGAATTCTAATAGCGCGACCACTATCGAACACCCACTCAATTCCACTTATTTTTACCAAAAATGCAAGTGTTTCTAGCTTGCACTTAAAAAAATTCAAGCTATAGGGAAAATTACAACGACTCATTAATAAATAAAGAAATTAAGTATAACGAGACGTAATTAAATCGTGAAGCTGAACGCATGACGTACACCTTTCCCTAGAACTTTAAGTACTGACAGAGGTATTGATTGGGTCGACCGGTCAACTGTGACATATCTGCTATATCCCCTTCCACGTCTCTTAGCGATGTGCACTGTGTTTACTGTCCTCTCTTTGTTCAGTACATTATAAACGCATTGTACTCTTCTTACATACGGAAATCTCGACCCAAGACTAACCTTTGCCAGCCTTTAGTATATGAAGGATCCAGGGAAAAAACTTGATAAGCGCCAGTTTCTTAATTTTATGATTTTACGATATTATATAACTGGTCCCTACAAAACGTATAAACTCGGCAGGGCAATAAGTTGTTAAATCCTGTGATATACGCCTAGTAAAAATATAGAATACACGGAAAGAACTTGATAACCATCAGCCGTCCAGTACTCTCCAGTAATATTAGTAAAATGGCGGTTATCATGTTTTTTCCCTGGACCCTTCATATTTTTTATTTGAACAATTTTATCATAAAGTTTTAAAATATCTTTTTTGTCGCTTTCAGAATTTGAAAGGTATCTTGTCTTGAGTTCTCCCCAGTCTTGTATTTTTGTATTTTATTTGTCTACCGAGTGCGTCTCAAAAGTGGCTCACCCTTAAAACTCTATTATTTTTTTAGATAAAAAAAACATGATATGGTATGTCAATATATGACATAAATTAAGATTGATTGACGTATTCAATTGTTTTTGGTCACTTCCTGTTTCTCCGGAAATGACTACAACTTTTGATTTTTAAATGGCACTCTTGGTATATTCTTACTTTATTCGCTAGCAAATGACACCCTAAATAGAATGACATATCATACGTCAACTTTTGACGTTTTCGCTTAAAAACAAATTATATTTTAAATTTCAATCTAGAGTGTCATGGCTGTGTTAAAAACACTAACTTTTAACCAAGGAGGAAAAATTGATTTAATCGCCTAGTGCTTTTCGTGGCTTGTCCTGGCCGGTTTAAAGATGCCCAAATCGTATTTTTAATAATGTCTCCATTATTTCAAATGGAACGAGGGTGGCTCGTTAGCATATTTGGAAAAAGCATATTTTACGAATAATTTGGTACCACACACGGCACACACTTGGTATTTCGAGTCAAATTGTCATTATGAACGGGATATTACAATTAATAAATAAATCATATGAGAAAATGTCAAAAGTTGACATATGATATGTCATTCTATTCAGAGTGTCATTTTCTATCGAATAAAGTAAAAAACTGAGGGTACATTTAGAAGTCAAAAGTTGTGGTCATTTTCGGTGAAGGCCGAAGGAAGTGGCCGAAGACAAATACGTCATTTCAATGATCAATGATAATTCATGTCATATTAAAAAATAAAAAATAAAGAAGTTATAGAGATGAGCCACTTTTGAGACGCACCTGGTATAATATATTAATGGGTAATATTATTTTTTACTTTTTGTTTTAAATAATCTTTAGCTGATGACATGATAACGAGAATAATTAGATCAGTAACCAAACAAGCCAATCGCATCGGTGCATCTGGTATATCTCTAATGAAGCTTTTTTCAAGTTCTTCCTTGTCGATTGAAGAAATCCGGTCGAATTTCAAAGAAAAACTCTCCACTATAGATCCAAAAACCGTCGGTGGTAACTTCCTAGGTAATTATATTAGTTTGGATATAAATTTATTAATATAATTTAATTAAATATAAAACGATATCGACATTTTTTTTAAAATTACGGACAAGTAATTGTCCTATTTTAAAGAAAGTTAGAGAATCACCCTGTATATATTGACACTAAATGTTTTATTCGAATTTCAGTAATTGTTAGTTTCGAATTCGTCGAAATTATTATGGAGTATGCAAAAGAACTAAAATTAGTGGACACACTTAATCAATGGCTATACGTAATATCCGATACGACGAATAAAATTACAGGGTTAATGAGATTTAAAAGACTATTAAAAGAAGGCGATAATGTAGCCTTTATTTATAACAACACTATTTCAAAGAAGAGCTGTAAGGTATAGACAAGATTTTTTTTCTTCTGAGATTTATTTTTTTTTCTCCGCCGGTGCTGCCAACATCTGAGAATATCGTAAACAATCAGCATATACAAATACAGGGGTTTAAATAGCGAGTATATAAAAAAAAGTTTATATAAGTATTCGAAAAGTGTTAGAAAGTATAATTTGTGAAAATTCTAAAAAAATAACTATGAACTGTAACCGGGACGGCCGGCGTGAAATACATAGCGAAAACTTTTGATTTCTGCCTGATCTGATTTTTTGCAATCAACTGAAATGCACGAAGCCTATTGTCGGGATGTTTTATTGCAATTTGCTAAATACACGTTTTGAAATTCTAGTTACTTTAATAAAATTAATAATATTTATATAATCATGAAATAGTTTAACTATTGAAGCATAACTAAATATCTTAAATAGGGTGGAATGATGTGTCATATAGAAGAAATATTAGCTGGTTTCACGAAATCCTTGGATAGTGCAATAGTGGATGAATTTGAAACAGCTGCACAGGTTTCTGAAGAAGAATGGGAAGCTATTAGACCTACTAAGCAGGACAGAAAAAATGATTTATTAGAAAAAATGAAGGTAAAATAAAATTACAGTCTTTTAGTTTTTTTAATGTGCCAGGTGGCCAACTAATAATAGATGCCGGCTTTATCCCTCTGAATCTATTTATCGTGGAATTTTGGAAAAAAATCTAATAAGGAAATCGGCTAAAAGAAATTACTGGAAATTATTTGAAAGTCCGAAAAATATCAGTAGCCAATCGGGAAACCAATGAATGAAATCTAATGAAATCAATGCAAAAGTCTCTTTTTTTGTGTTTTCTGGTACATATTGCTTCTGTTAAAATAAGGTTATCTCGGATTTAGATTAACGGAATTAAACAAAATAATGCTCGCTAAAAAGACTGCCTTCTCCATAAAAAGCTACAATATAAACTTATTCTGGTATAATAAGCTCTATTCTGGTTACACATTAAAGTTAATAGTAGTCGACTCAAGGAGTAAGGGAAGATTTCGACAGGCAATATCCAGAAAATGACAAGATGCAATTTAACTCTGAATTAAAACGACAAACATAACTGTCAGTATCTTCCTCTGGGAGATACGAGACCTTGTCGTTGGTGGGGAAGCTCCTAGTCATGTGCTAGGGGGATCTTCTCTAGCAGTTTGGCTGGATCTAAGGAGCATCTCATTGTCTTGTTCCTGGCTGTAGTGCCGTGGTCAAGGAATTGAACCAAGACGCGTATAACGATGCCGGATGGTACTACCCATCATGCCGAGCACCCTCTAGTGACTGTGGTCATGTATCACGGGTGGAGGGTGTGGATGTGGGGGTCTTAGCTTAAGGTCGGTGGTAGATGCCCACTTCTCGGAGGATGAACTTCTGTTATCAGAAGAGGAGGGGAAATACTCTGTCCCCCGTATAACAGGTAGATCCCCATGTATGATGAGTTATAGACTGCATGATGAGCTATAACTCACGAAAGGGGGACATAATAGGTCTTTAAGGTGGCGGTGATTAACCCTCCTCCTTACTCATTCTACATTCTACTACTGTCAGTATCAGGAATCATCCCATTGGATGTACCTTAAACAATATACAGGGTGTTTCAAAAAACATGTGACATCTCTCGTGGGGAGATTCATCACGTAAAAATAAAATTGATTTTTCTTATCAACATAGGTCCGATTCTGCTTTGTTTCGGAACTACAGGGTGTTAAAGTTCTTAACCCGATTTATCCAATAACTTTCTTCCAAGTACCTTTACCGTTTCAAATGAAATTTTGAGGGTAAAAGTTACTATAAATACGACATATTTTAAAACAGGGACGCGCATATGGGTTATCACTGGAATATTTTTCTAAATAAAGCATCTACGCCACTGACTTTTTTCTCTTGTTAGCGAAATAGCGTAAACAGTTCAATGCCGATCAAAAGTTGTCTCTTGATATTTTGTCGATTTCGGCCTCCTTGATGAGATAAACGCAATTTTATTAATTTGCCTTGGTCCAAGTCTAATAGCAATCATTAAAAAAAATAATATCATTAACTTGCAAAAGTTTTAAATAGGTACTTATTGATTCCTCATCAAAAAATATGAAAAAAAGTTCCTATAAACACGGACAAGGAAATGCATAGTTTTAGAGTTACAGGATGTTAAAACTTTTTAAAATTATGTTTTTTGTAATTATCTTAAATACCATTATTTTTTTTATTTGAAATTGCTGTAGGTTTGACTAATAGTAATAATATTTAATAATAAATTAGGTATAATAAGTAATTTAATAATTTTATTTTTATTTTAATTTTATTAAATGTGATTAATAAAATTGCGTTTATCTCATCAAGGGGGCCAAATTCGACAAAATATTAAGAGATAACTTTTAATTGGCATTAAAGGGCCTACTCAATTTTGATCCCAAAAGAAAAAAGTAAGTGGCGCACATGATTTTTTTTTTTTGAAAAATATTCCAGTGATAACCCATATGCACGTCCCTGATGTATATGCACGTCCCTGATACTCGTAGCACTTGTTAATAAAGTAACTTGTACCCTCAAAATTTCATTCGAATCACTAAAAGTACTTGGAAGAAAATTATAATAAATCGAAAGATTATTAAGACTTTAACACCCTGTGACTACGAAAGAAAGCAGAATCGGACCTACGTTGATATGAAAAATAAATCTTATTTTTATATGAGGAATCTTTTCACGGGAGATAGCACATGTTTTTTGAAACACCCTGTATACCTACATATACATTTTTTTGTGCCATAATCAGCTTGCATATTATAATCGCTTTTTTAAGAAATATCTTACTGACTACGGCGTTTGTGATAACTGTACCACATGGAAGTTTGAAACTGGAGAGACATGGGGCAGGGAGTATTTAGACAGCATACGTTCAGAACATTCCATAGCGGAGATATTGCAAGTTGGCTCTTGGAGACCTAGCGACGGTCCAACTATGTCTGACGAACTATTTCCTCACATTTCGCATGGATTTAGAGGAAAAACTCTTCCAGTAGTTTCTTTTCATGTAAGTATATTGTTGCTTCAATTTTCTTGATTTTGTATTATAAATTTTATTAATATTTCTAGAATCCTCCATGGCAAATTCTCAAGGTCAACGAATCAGGAGACGTCATTGAATACAGTGGTATAGTTTTCGATATTATGAGAGAGCTGTCCAAAAATTTAAACTTTACTTTCAACGTTGAAATAGTAAAATCCCACTTTCAATACAATGTAACAAGGTATAATCCCAAAAACGAGACTACAGCGTTCCTGGATGTTATAGAGAGTTCAGGAATTTCCACATACACGTAAGTGAAGTAGACTTTTACATTATTAGATTGATAAAGAGTTAAATATATACAATAATCTACTCAAGTATGTCCAAGAAGTGGGTACAGGTCATACAGGTGAATTGGAGTTCCTGTGATTTTTTGGATGTCGTCTGTCGAAAAAAAATCGACTCGTTGGATAGACTGATTTATTTATTTATCGTATGGCTCATATACATGCAAGAAAATCAGACACTTAAACATAGACATAAAATAAACTACAATGTAAATGAAAACATTACAATGTAAATATAAAAAAAACAAGTATAATATAAAAAGACAACATAAAAAACGTATTTACGAACACCATATATTAACATCTAGATGCCCTATCCATTCCAAAGCTGATGGAGAAGCCTCCAGAAAGTCCCTCCAATCTTCACCATAAGCGCGTAGGTTGCACTCTCTAGTTATATTATTATTATTATTTATTATATTATTATTATATTATTTGTCTTTATTGTCCAACAGATTACAAAAAATCCAATTACTAGACAACATGAACTGAAATAGAGTAAATTAAATAAACTTATATTAACTACAGAGTAAATTGAATAAACCTATATTACCTACAGAGTAAATTAAATTAAATTAAATAAACTTATTACGCAACAGAGTAAATCAAATAAACCTATACCGATGAACCTCAAGATTTCCAACCCTCAGCGCTCTTTTAAAGTGAGTCTAACGAACAATTATGCAGGTCTATAGTAATATTGTTATAATTTGCTAAGTTGTTCCATAGAAAGCAAGAACGGTATATGGGCGCTTTCTGCTGCAGATTTGATGTCGCTAACGGCTGATAAAATTCACGACACTGTCGAGTATTTGCAAGCGGGACCGCAAAGTTTACTTTGTTTAACAACTGAGTAAATTCTATCAAGTTGTTGCACAGTTTAAAGATAAAACATATGTTATTTTGTATTCTGCACCTCTCAAGAGGTAATATATTATAACTGTTCAACATATCCAGCTGATCAAACCCATGCGGGGGGTACTGTCCGTAAGTTCTAAAATGCGATAATTTCAAGAACCTACGCTGTACTTTCTCCAAACGGTCAATGTGAATAGCGTAAAATGGAGACCAGATAACACTGGCATATTGCAGCCTGGATTTGACCATAGAATTGTACAGGGTGAGAAGGCTTGAGGGCTGCTTAAAATGCAATGTTGTTCGACTGATAAACCCTAACAGTCTCAGTGCCGATTGCACGATCATATCAATGTGTGGATTAAAAGACAACTTTTTATCTATTAATACACTAAGATCCATAACCGATTTACAGTCCTCCAATACATCACCGTCTAGTACGTAATCAAATGTAAATTCATTTCTTTTGTGCGATATAGTTATTTTTTGCATTTGTTATTATTTAGCGGTAATCGGTTTACCTTACACCAATCAGATAAACGATCTAAATCCATCTGGAGGGCTTTACAATCATTTATTGTACGTATGGACCTATAAACTTTTAAATCGTCTGCAAATAGTAGTATGTGATGGATGGTTTGGTGAGGGGATCCGCAATCACATTCTGGAGAAGGTATTTTCCCCCACTTATAAAGGGAATCCGCACATCTTCCATGGCCAGAGCGTATCCTATTCAAAGTTGACCATGTTTTCCGGTTTAGATCGGTACCCGATGTCTGGCAATAGTTATGTTTGAACCAGGAATATAGGTGCGCATCGGCCATTTCTCTCCGTAACTGAAGCCACTGTTCTCGAGAATTGTAGTTACTGCTTTTTAGTTGTTCAGCTATTCGCAAAGGTGGATTCCTCGACTTAAGTCTATTCACCTGTAAAGCAGGAAGTGTTTTATGAACAGGTAGCGTTGGGGTAGCTATTATTTTATCAAATTCTCTAAGAAGAGCCTCGTTTCTGCGTAGATTTGGAGGTAGGATGTTACTCAGAACTAGAAGCCAGTAACTAGGGGTGCATCTGATTGTCCCTGTAATCAGCCGCATGGTGTTGTTCAGCTGTCTGTCTACGAGATTTGTGTGGTGGCTGTTCAACCACACGGGTGCACAATACTCTGCCACACTGAATACCAGACCAAGGGCGGAGATCCGAAGTGTTGTTGCTTTTGCACCCCAAGAAGTAACACAAAGTTTTTGTATAATGTTGTTTCGTGTTCTGATTTTCCCAGCAACATTTTCTAGGTGTTTTCGAAATGAGAGTGTACGGTCTAGAGTAATCCCCAGATATTTTGGATATTTGTTATTACGCAGAGTGGTGTTACCAAACTGGACGCTTATTTCAGTATTCGCCAGCTTGTTATTAAGATGGAAGGTAGCCACTTCTGTCTTATTTGCACTGGGTTGAAGTCTCCATTTTATAAAATAGGCATTCAAAGATGCGAGATCCTTTGTAAGCGTTTCTTGGGTTTGATATAGCGATTCATGTTCCGTTGCTATGGCTATATCGTCTGCGTAAAAATTTTCTAGATTGCGTATCTGGTAGGTCAGAGATGTATAAGTTGAATAAGAGAGGGGCGAGAACGGAGCCTTGGGGTAAGCCGTTGTTAAGTTTTTAGGTTTTACTTGTGCTCTCTCCTGAAATACTTGGATATATCGGTTACTTAGCATGTTGTTGATAACTCGAGCTATAGTTTGACAAGGAAGTGCTTTAAGTAATTTATAAACCATACCTTCTCTCCAGACTGTGTCGTAAGCGGCTGTTAAATCGACAAAAGCTATGGAGATTTTAAGCTTAAGTTGGAAATTTCCTTCAATGTGAGATGTAAGTGCTACGACTTGGTCACAGCAACTGCGTTTAGGAATGAAACCTGCCTGTTCAACTGGAATATGGTCTAAGATACTATCCTTTATTCTATTGAAAATAAGTCGTTCTAGGAGCTTATAGGTACAACTAAGAAGGGCTATGGGTCGATAATTCTGAGGTTGATCTTTAGATTTTCCTGGTTTTAACACAGCTATTATTTTAGTTTTCTTTTTAATTCCTTTGGAATGTTGCGGTTGATAAAATTCTCGAGAAGAAACTACAAAGCCACTTGAGGGCAGGGTCTCCAGCGTAAATAAGGAATTCTGGATGAATGTTGTCATATCCAGGAGCTTTGTTCGGCTTGATGTCTTTAATAGCTGTGACTATGTCGTCAATTTCGAAGGGCTGTAAATGTTCCGAGATATGGGGAGTGGTTGTTCTTAACTCCTTTAATTTCCTCTTAATCTCAATTGTGTGCTCCTTATCACGTCGAGACCTAGATGTCTCAGCTATATAATTTGCAATTTGATTAGCTGATATTTCAGAGCTTGTTGCTCTTTGTATGCTTGATAGACTGATATTTTAGTATTATACAGTACGTTTTTGTTAACGGTGTTACTGGATTCTATACTATGTTAGTATTCTTATGTTTATTGTTAAAATTATTGGGTGATATGAAACAAATAGCATACAATACATAAGATATTATAACCTATTTTAGATAAAACAAACAACAAACTAACAGCTTTGCGAACACGTACTTCTTAATTACATTTTCTTCTTCTTATCACGCCCTCTCCTGCCGAAGGCTGGCGATCCAAATGGCAATTGTGGCTCTGGAAACTGCATCCCGGAAGATTTCCGCAGACGAGCGTTCAAACCATCTCCTCAAATCTTTTAGCTATGAGTTCTGGCGTCTTCCTACTGATCTTTTCCCTTGCACTTTGCCCTCTATTATGAGGCGCAGTATATCGTATCTACCACCTCTCATCACATAACCCAGGTATTGCATTTTTCTTTCCTTGATGGTGTTCAGTATCTCTTTTTGTTTCTCTGCATGCGCTGGTGTACTTCATCGTTGGTGATCCTTTGTACCCATGAGATTCGCAGCATCCGTCTGTATACATACATTTCGAAGGCTTCTATTCTCTTTTCGGTCTGTGAATCTAATGTCCAGCTCTCACATCCATATAGTAACACAAAGAAGACGTAGCATCTGGCCATTCAAGTTCTGCGTTCCGCACTGAGGTCTCGTCTTGTAAAAAATGATTTCATTCTCACGAAGATTACATTTTTACAATTACATTTTACTTGTCCAATATTATTTAGTCCAGCTGACAAATAATACTAGATAGGTATTTCAAGAATTGATATTTATAAGTAGATATGTATACTAAATATTGAGTATTATACTAAGAAATAATGAATGAACGTAAAATAAAATATTAAATGATTGTAGCTAAGTAATTAGAAATAATTATTATCTATAGAAAGTAATAACTGACCTATAAAGATACTTTTAAATATAACCGAACAAATACTCAATGATTTTCTTTTTTATAGTCACATCCTTAATCAAAAAAATGTGTATCATACTTCAATTTGTTATGAATATAATCAAACCTTACCAAACCAAACACCTATATTGCCCATTTCTATAGAATTTACCGGCTAAAAAAACAGAAAATTAGTATTATATTAAAATAATACCGTATTTGACTTAGCGTCATTTTTTTATTTCTATTCTATTTGAATTTACTAAAGGCTGAAAATAGTAAACCCGGTGGCACATCCCCTATAACTTCTTTATATTTTCAGATGAAAAAACTAGATTTGGTATGTTAGTATTTGACATAAATTAGGATTGATTGACGTATTCAATTCTTTTTGGCCACTTCCTGTTTTACCGGAAATGACTACAACTTTTGATTTTTAAATGGCACCCTCGGTATATTTTTACTTTCTTCGATAGAAAATGATACTCTGAATAGAATGACATATTATATGTCAACTTATGATATTTTGGTTTACAACAAAACTGTATTTTAAATTTCAATCTAGAGTGCCATGGCTGTGTTAAAAACACTAATTTTTAATCAAAGAACCTTGGAAAAATAGATTTGATCGTTTAATGTTTTTAGTGTCTTGTCCTGGCCGGTTAAAAGATATTAGCATATTCGGAAAGAGAATTTTTAGCCGACCATACCACTAGGTATGGTAGGCTATTAGGATCGGCAAAAAAAAGTTTTTTTAATTTCACTCAAAATAAGTTATTTGGATCATAAATGACCTAAATACAAAATATTTTCATGGTGTCTGTCTGTCTGTCTGTCTGTCTGTCTGTCTGTCCGTCCGTCTGTCCGTCTGTAACACGATAACTCAAAAACCGCTGAACCGATTTTAACCAAATTTGGCACAAAAATACTGTGGCACCCGAGAATCGGGCCATAAGTTTTTGGTGGGGGTGGGGAGTTGGTAAGGGGGTACAGGAGGGGGTTAAAAATTTTAAAAAATCGTAACTCCAAAATTACAGTAGCTAGCGAAACGCGGTTTCCAAATTAAGATTAGGGATAATATTTGCAACAAAATTTGTAATAACATCAAAATCAGTCAAAGCCGCAGTTTTCGAGATATTAACATATTTTAGTATGGGCGGCTATACGTGCCTCCCGGCGCCAATTTTTTTACTAATAATTTGGTACCACACACTTTTGGTATTTCGAGTCAAATTGTCGTTATGAATCGCATGTTGCAATTTCAAGTAAGCCATATTCGAAAATGTCAAGTTGACATACGATATGTCATTATATTCAGAGAGTGTCATTTTCTATCGAATAAAGTAATAAAATACCGAGTGTGCCATTTAAAAATCAAAAGTTGAAGTTATTTTCGGTAAAACAGAAGATGACCGAAAACAATTGAATACGTCAGTCAATCCTAATTTATGTCATATACTAACATACCAAATCTAATGTAGTAGTTTAGGCTTTCGCGGCCATCGTTTGAAGAATTTTGGGTTTTCGGGTTATTAGGCCGTCGTCGGTTAGAATTGCTTCCTAACGTTTCGCTAGCACGAGTGGCTAGCATCTTCAGAGGTGTGTTTGCTCCGACTGCTAACACTAGACTGATGTGAGTCTAGTGTGAGCAGTCTACATCAGTCCAGTGTGAGGAGTCGGAGCAAACACACCTCTAAAGATGCTAGCCACTCGGGCTAGCGAAACGTTAGGAAGCAATTCTAACCGACGACAGCCTAATAACCCGAAAACCCAAAATTCTTCATACCAAATCTAGTTTTTTATCTAATAAAATAAGAAGTTTATTAGGGTGAGCCATTTTTGATACGCACCCGGTATAGTAGCATACAAAATAAAATCACTTACCAAATGTCCCGTTTAAAATAAACCAATAAAATATGTAAAAAATTTTATTGATACTCCCCAAAATCTTAATTTTATTCGCTAAACCATAACAAAATGTTGCCAAGATATTTCAATATTTTAACTTTTTTTCTTTAATAATTGTTATTAATTAGATAAAATTATTTGTAGAGTACCTCAAGAAATTTTGGAATTAGTTCACAATAAGTCAGTAGCAATGGGTGCTTGCGCGTTTACTGTTACAGAAGAAAACAAAAAACTGATAAACTTTACCAGCCCAATTAGTATTCAGTTTTATACCTTTTTAGTAGCAAGACCTAGAGAACTCAGTAGAGCATTGTTATTCATATCACCATTTACAGGAGGGGTAAGTTTGATTTTTTTAGTATATAATTATGACTTTTATCTGTCAATGTGTTTTTGCCGAGAAAATAGTGCAATCTTAATTAATTTATCAAAGTGTTTAAGTTAAGTAACACTTCTTTTATTGTATATATGTTGTCAAAAAAGATACAATCCGATATGTGTCGAAGTTCTACTCTATCTTGAAAACCGTTCACCGTTTCCAACTAAATGAAAAGTACCTTTCTCTGACGTAAAACAGTCCTAGCTTCTTATATCATTTGTTGGACTTACTGTATCTATCCATATTTTATCAATATAGATATATTGATAAAAGAAGTACCGCCAGTAGTAACACAGTTTAAAGAATATAAATATATACAGTTGGCTCACTCTAAGGAATTCTATTGTTATTTTGACTTCAAAGGCGGCCCGTGACCCTTCGAGTTGACAAAACATATGTACTCTTACCGGGTGCAGCGGAAGTGCTATTTTATCAGTCAGAACGCTGGCCGTATACGAGGGATCAACTAAAAATACTAAGGAATTTTAATATAGCAAGTAGAAAAATAAAAATACAGTACTAGTTTTATTGATTGACAGTTTTAGGCGTCTTTAATAATTGATCAATACTTTCTTCTTATTATTATTTAATAACATATCTCATAAACCGCAAATTCTAATACGGTTATGATATTGTTCTGGTGTATAATTTTTATATCTGTGGGATCCTATAAATCCTAAGGCACTTTTCCAGGCTCCACACCTACAAGTTATTTTCCTTATCAGACTCTACTACTACATACTATGGTGAATACATTAATATTAAAATATTAGATAGATATATTATTCTATTCTAATTCTTTGGAATATGGAATTGTCAATAGGGGAATTATTATTAATAATTATTATGGAAACCCCATATATACTATATATAATATTCTATTTGCATATTTCTTAAATTATAGCATGTTTTGCTTTATAGATGTTTGCATTTTACTTTAATTTCCTACCGGGAAATCCCAAATTTTATAGTAAGGTAATAAAAATACCTTTGCATACATACAACTTGTGTTGCCATTGTCAATTTTTTGGGATTTTTTTCTAAATTTTATGATTATCATGAACAGTAATTATGACTGTTAGTAGTTAATTGTGTAATAAATTTTAATGTTTGATAAAATTTAGTAAAAACTGAAAAAAAAATGACAATGGCAAGACAAGTTGTATCCAAGTACTTTTTATTACCTTTTGATAAAAAGGTAGATGATTAAAGTGCAAACAGCTAAAAAGCAAAACATGCTATAACTTAAGAAATATGCAAATATAATTTATTACAATATTTACTATTAATTGAACAGCACACAAGAAAAACAATGAAAGTACCAAAAAGGGGGGGGCTACATCTTTTGGTACCTAAATAAACGGGAATATCGATAACGACCACCTAGAAACAAGCATTAAAAATGGGAAATAGATATAAAAGTCCATGCGTAATTTGAATAAAAAAAAACGCTTTCCTGAACATTTATCCCCCCATTTCTGGATACTCATCGTTTTTCCCATGTGCTCGTCAATTGTTATATTTACTGTTACATAAAATTTAGTAAAAACTCTAAAAAACTTGTCAATAGCAGAACAAGTTGTAAGCACGTATTTTTATTACCTGATGATAAAATTTGGACTTTCCAGGTAGGTAGTTTAAGTTAAATACAAACATCTAAAAAACAAAACATGCTATTTAAAAAAATGCAAATATCTTAAAAAAATAATTTAATATGCACTTTGCCACCCGGTAAATACTGGAAATCCATAACATAATAGTAAAGTATCTACTACTACTCTAATATATCTTCTAAAATAATAAACTAATTGTTAAAAATAAATATTTTGTGCATATTTCGAGTAAAATCTTTTCTTAATTTATATGTATATTTTTAAAGCAATTTATTCATAATTTGGTTTCCATAATTATAATATACTTAAAATGTCTAATACTTTAATTATTATATACTTAATAGCCTATACTATATAAACATATACCTTCGTTGATCTTTTGGGCGCCTAAAGAACGATAAAATAATCGTCTGTCATTCTACTTTCACAACCATCCACTGCACAAATATTTCTAGTAGACATTTTATTCACAATTCAAACAAAACAACTAAAACACTATTTTTGGTTCACCCTATGCGTCGGAGCGAAAACAAAACTAAAATAAACTTGGAACGCTGTGTACACGTCGAGCAACGGATGTAGACTGACCAGAGTCTACAAGACAGGCGGGGAGCGGCGGGAGGAATTTTGATACGGGCGAAGAGTGGAAATGGAAAGTACCCTTTCAGTTGCTTTGCCAGTAAAATGTGTGTAACAGTACTAAATTTCGAGAAAATCGGTTTACCAATGTTCTTAAAAATAAATAAAATACATATTCTTTTTATTTACGAAGCATTTTAAATGATATGTTTATAGGAACTTTTTATTTTTTTATCCTTAGAATTACACCCATCGAAGTTGATAGGTACACTATTTTTTGACACCCCGTATATATTTTTAAGAACATTTTTGTTACAGACTTGGTTGTGTCTAGCGGCAACTATTATATCCATGGGCCCCATATTGTACTGCATACATAAGTACAGCCCTGTATATGAATACAAAGGTATACGAGGTAAAGGTGGCTTAGCTACTATTCAAAATTGTATTTGGTATATGTACGGGGCACTCTTGCAACAAGGTTTGTATAAAATAATTTTATTATACAAAATAAAATGACTAATAATTTAATCTATAAAATTCGTAATCGTAAAAAAGTTCGTCGTTTTAAAGTAACTTTGAATATACAGGGTGATTCCTGTAAGTCGGTCATGCTTTTGAGGAATAATAGGGGACGTCGAAATATTAATTTTGATAAAGCACACTATGGGTCGGAAATGCCTCTTACGCAAGATACAGGGTGTTAAAGTTTTTGAAAAATTAAAGATATTCTTTAATAGTTTTTTTAACAGTTGAAGGTATCGTTATAAAATTTCATTATAGGAATCTACCTAACAGAGACACTTGAAATGTGAAAAGAAGAAGTTTTAGTTTCAACCAGTGGCGTAGATGTGATACGCATCAGGTATTTTTTTCAAAAAAAATAGTACGCCACTGATAAAAATAAAAATTTCGGATTTTTTTATTTACTCAGTTTATTTCCAAGATAAAATGTCTCTTGCAACTTTCCCCTATCTAACACCATTTTGTCACAATTTAAAACTAAATAAATTTTTAAAGAGAATCTTAAATACAGCGAATTATTTATAACTATAGGGCAGAAACACATGTGCATCGTTAGCTCCCTTCATCTTGAGTAACTTTAGTACTTTTTACTATTAGCTCTAAATAAATTTTTAAAAAAATTATAAATTTGAACTAGAATTTTTTTTATTGTTAATAATAAAATTAGTAGTTTTAAGGTAGTTATAATAATTCGCATATTTAAGGTTCTCATTAAAAAAATATTTATTTTTAAATTGTGACAAAATGGTGTTAGGAAGAAAGTTGCAAGAGACAATGGCTGCATTCAGCAGACGGAATCGGATTGGTAATCGGTCATTTACGATTAGTAATCGTTTTCTTGCGATTTGTAATTTTTCTGAATACCTTTTTATAATTTCTACGATTAACGGGAGAGGGCACTAGTTTTTATTTAATTTTTGATATGGTTTTTGACTTTTATGTATTAGTTTGTTTATTTATATCATTTTCATTTATCTCGTTTGTGTATTTAATAAATAATATTTATTTTACTTTAATTTTTACAGTAATATTTTTTTACAAATTTATAAATAACTAAAAAATAAATAATAACAAATGCATCAAAAGTATTCTCTTCTATAAATAATCTTGCATTCCATTTAGAGATTGTCATATTGTTAACACTTTTTATATAAACAAATCGGTAATCGCTAATCACAAATCGCTCTTTGAGAACGATTGTAAAAATGGCGTCCGATTACCAATGGGCGATTAGTCATCGGAAATTTTTAGGTGCATTTTTATGATTAGTTATCGATTACTAATCGGTGGCGTCTGCTGAATGCAGCCATTTTTTCTTGAAAATAAACCGAGTAAATAAAAAAACTCCGAAATTTTTATGTTTATCAGTGGCGTACTATTTTTTTTGTTGAAAAAATTACCCGATGCGTATCACATCTACGCCACTGAATATTTCGACGTCCCCTATCATTCCTCGAAAGCATGACCGACTTACAGGAATCACCCTGTATTTTTTGGAAAGAACTTGTTTTGTCTTTGATAAATAAAATAAACAGTTCCATGATATTCCATATTTATTATCCCAATTCCACATTGATCAATTTAACACTTAGTAAAGTGAACAAGAGATCTTAAGAGGTCAGTTCAAAGTTAGTGACCCGTCATCTTTTAAGGTCCGACCGAGATCTCGGTCTCGTTCTTGGCATAAAAAGGCCGAGATTATCGGCCACGACCGAGACTGCCCACGATCGTCAAATTAGCTTAATTTTGAGCGTATCGCTCCACCTATCGATGGGTGGATTAATGAAATACTCGTCCGAAGTCGAAAAAAAAAGACTGGATCATATCTGACTCATACATAATCTGATTGAATCACGAAGGGAATTTCCCGGACGGCTGAAGAATCGTCTTCCTCTTTCGATGCGTAAACAATGAACGAAATGTGATATGTTAGTGTCTTATTAATGTAAGTTTTATAAATTTAACAGAATTATGCTTTTATATGAATTAGAGTGGCTGTAACGACGTCCCGTAATCCTGCTGTTAAAAGATAACAATTGGTTTTTATATGTAACCAGCTGTTATGTTTTAACAGCAGGATTACGGGACGTCGTTGCAGCCACCCTTACTCGTATATCCTACTGAAAAGTAAAATTTGTGTGTGTAATTATTCACCTCTATTCAGAGTTCTGAAACCAGCAGCTTATACATTTCTAATCTCCACCACCAACAATCGTCTCTAGCGAACAACTATTTAGAAAGAATATGATGAAACACTGCATAATTTGAAAGGATGCAATGCTGAAAATTACTTTTTTAGCCAATAACATAGACTAAAAAAGTCATTTTATTAGTACTAATAATTTTATAGTATTAAATCCCAATAAAACCGTTTCTGCACGAAAATAACGTTTTTATTACATTATTATCAGATGTTTTTTTCATATATTAAACTATTGAATAAATATTGTATCGTGCCTCGGTCTCGGTCTCGGCCGAGACTAAAAATCCAGGTTCGGTCGGAACTTGGTCATCTTATCCGGTAGTCAACCAGCATTAGAAGCCGTCATCTCAGTAAAAATCAAATCGAAGTTGGTCAAAGAACGACCAGAGAAGCTAAACAAATTGGGCAAAAAACAAATAAAATCCTTCTACTCTGGGTGCTAGCCCACCAAGGGAAGGTAATGAAAAAACGATCTCTCTAGAAAAGGAGCAAACACTCCCACTAAATGGACCAGAACCGTTCTGCTTCCCTTAGAAATCAACTTAAAGTGGAACTCAAGAATCTAGAAGACTCGATCCGTAACCTGGAATGGGAATCATCCAACGGTCTACAACACTCGAAGAAACTTCTCGGAACTTACGACCGAAAAAGATCAAGGATTTTCCGTGATTTAAGTAAGAACAATCTCCGGATTGTCGTGGAGTTTTTAACAGGACACTGTCTGCTCAATGAACACCTCAGTAGATTGAAGCTAAGAACCAACGTTGAATTCTGTGGAGAAAATGGGGAAACACCAGAATACCTCATCACTGAGTGCGCCGAGACGACAACCATTCATGCTATAAACTTTGATACGATTAATATCAGAGATGAAGAACTAACCCTTATAAAACCGCTTTTGACAAAGTCCTGAGACTGTATGATCAATTACAACTCCAAAAAAGGGGACACAATAGATCTATAAGTTCGCGGTGATTAACTTCTCCCCACCCATTTATTCTACAATCTATTGACCATTCAACTTTCCTTTCACAAAAGTTCTGTTAAGATTTAATGAAAGTTATTATTTATAGATAACATTAAAGTTTCACTTTATCCAATTGCAACATCACTTAATATTGAAGAACAGACATTACATATAGGCAATATTGTTTTAGGTGGAATGCATCTTCCATACGCAGACAGTGCTCGTATATTGATAGGATCTTGGTGGTTGGTTGTTCTAGTAATTGGGACAAGTTACTGCGGAAATTTAGTAGCTTTTCTTACATTTCCCAAAATCGACATTCCCATTACCACCATAGACGAGCTTATCCAACACGTCGATACACTGACATGGAGTTATGGAAAGAATACATTTCTCGAAGCACAGCTACAGGTGGAAAATTGTATTGATAGCTTTGTTATAGCTCTAAAAATTTGTTAAAAAACTTACCCAAACTAGCCTAAATTGATTTGAAGATTCTTTTTTCACAAAATTTAAAAATTTATATCGACTATTCTGAAGCAACTCACTAAATGTATATTTCAAATTTTTAAAATACTTCATTCAGGAAACTCTTCGAATTATCTAAGCAAATGTTAAGAAGACCATTAATTTTTATGAGGAAAAGTATACAGGGTGGTGACAATTTCGATGCTCAACATTGGCATCTCAGAAACAATACGATATTCGGTTAAATGGGACAAAAGTTGCGTAATTACAAGTTTCTTTTTGAAATTTTAGTTTACTACTAGAAGTTTAGGGATTTATTTCAATCTAGGCTGGCACATTAAAATCATTAAGCCTTTTAAAATACTGTCCTCTTGTTTCTTAAAGCTACCAAAAACTGCTAAATTTCTTGCGAAAATAGTACGATGAGGTTGAGTCCTTTCAGGATACAATCACAGATTAGGTATCCTATAAGTATACAGATAAAAATCTTGTCCCTAATTCGTGGTACGAAAATTGTTTTTTATGACAATGTGCAAACGAGTCAAATTTCCTGTGCGCAAAAATAAACTCGTAAAATAACAATAAACAGCGTAATAGAGAGATATCGCTAAACCGAATAGCGTGCATGGACGTTAATAAGGCCAGGTGTTATTTCCTTTACGTGAGGTGGTATTAACTCTCTTCATTTATAGTTATCGGATCGGAAAGAATTCTGATCGCGTCGCGTCCGCTATTTAAACTTAACCTAACTTTGAATTTAAAACTTTGAAATTGTTTTGTTTACTAGGTATTTTAAAACTAAAGGGCTAAAGTGCTTATTTCCAGTGCTTTATTGTTCAACGTTTGCCAGTGGGTTTAGGGCAACAAAAGCAACAAATTCTCTTAGAAGGGCTAAGTCGTCATCTGCTGTAAACCTAAGACTCTTTATAGGTTCTTTAGTATTGGAAGAGGTGGAATCCATATTTTGGATGTATATCAAACTTAAATATCAAATTACCTAATAAAACTAAAGTAATAATTCAAAACAATTCAAACATAACCTAAAATAAAAGATCTCGCCGGCCGGCTCCGGTTGTCAAATACCCGCACATGCCCATTTAAGCAATTTTTAAACGTTATCAGAGGTTATTTAGAAAGAGCGCTTGGTGTAATTGATCCGCAAATTACGTCAGGCGGTAACGCTATTAGCGGGTGTTGCGTTAAAAATTGACTCGCGCATATTGTAACCATGATAAGGTACGCGTAAATACTGGATGACGCTATTCGGTTTTCCGATATCTCTCTAATAACTGTGCCGGTCAGGCGCTGTGCACAATTTTAGAGGCCATAAGTGGGCGTGCTATGGGCGTAAACTAGTCACCTAACTAGTGCCCGATTCCGAAAATTGGAACCACGAAAAACAAAAAAGAAAAAACAAAGATTATAATCTGTATAATCTGTCATACAATGTTCTATAACTTGCGCATGCCATAACGGAATTATTATTATTTTTAAGTAAACATCATACATATCTCGTATTTCCTCACTTGTGACTTGTGAACATATTGTTGACTGTTAATACATTTTACACTATTTACTATAAATTTTTGTGTCCAGATTTGACACTTAATAGTAGTAGTCAAAAATTAACTTCCTGTTATATAAAGTGTCAATTGGATTTCCAAGGCAGACTTGATCTTTTGAGCGAATTGTTAAAAAATCTTATTTTTTTAGTCAATTTACATAATAATGAATAAAAATTAGATACTACCGTATTGATTAGTTTTTGCTCTATCTCATAGTATAAAAATTCAAAATGGCGGCCATAAGAAAACAAAAACTTGACTGCTGTTGTGCTAAATCTAGAAGGCTTAGAAATTTTCTGAAAACGGCATTTAATTGGCCGAGGTTACAAATATAAAACTACCAACTTATGTTCCAATAGATACAATAGTTCTGAAGATATTGTCATTTAATATAAACGTATTATTTTCATTTTTTTGACATAAATCCTAGACTAATCAAATTACCGGGTTTTTTTGCATAGGTGTTTGTCAAACATCTAATTACGCAACTTTTACCCCATTTAACCGAATTCGTATCTCTCGTAGTTTCTGAGATGCCAATATTGAGCATCGAAATTGTCACCACCCTATACAGGGTGTCCCAGAAATAAGTGCAAATATTTTAACTGGTAGTATAATTCAATCCCAGAAACACGCCTATGAAGTTTTTTTTCGCGAAAAGAAATTTTGAAAATTCGAAATTTTTTGAAATTTTTTTTGGATTTTTTTTTAGTTTTTAGTTAAAAAACATAATTTGTTGATAATATGTCAACATAGGTATAAGATTAAATTTACAAGAAAGAAAATCCAGAAAAGATCCAGTGGTTCTCAAAATTTTAGCAAAAAATCATTTATTTTGGAAATTTTCAAAGTAAAATAACTCCGTTATTTTGGACTTATTTGAAAAACGATAAAGAGAAAATATGTTTCTTTTATCGAGATCTACCACCCCTTAAAATATTTGCACTTATTTCTGGGACACCCTGTATACCAGATGGTTCATCATAGTTAGAAACATAGAAAATCCCAAGCATATTTTGTACTATCCAAATATTGACCTCTTGTTAATTTTACAGCGAAGTCGTAAAAGGGTTTTTTAAAGATCATTAATGTCTTTAGCTCATATATGTAACGACGAGTTATAAAAGTTATGTTGACATTTGTCTGGTTTAGCATTGTTACTTCTCCAGCTTTAATTTAAAAATAGACGCAGTTTTCTTAAGTTAGTTAAAAACGGCAAAATTATTCAAATTTGGCATGTGTATTCAGCATACGTAGACCTTTAAAAACTTATTTATGCCTTTGCCATAAAATCAACAGAGGAGCCAATATTTGGAGAGTTTGAAATTTGCATGTATAGTACTGTATTGGTTGCTTTTAATTTAAACAAAATGGAATTCCCTAACTTCCTTAATATCCATTTTTGATTCATACTTATATTGAATTTTTATAAGCAGTTTTCATCAGTTTTAGATTTACTCTAAGCCACTCAATTTTCACATTACTTCAGTAACATCCTGTATAATGACAAAAAAACATTTTCGGAGAATATTGAAAAGTTGACTCTCAAGAAATTTTCATCGAAGTTAATAAAAAGTGTTTTCAGAAGATGTTAAAAAACTTTTTAATATCTACAACTGAATATTAAAATCTAAAGAAAGAAATATATTTTTATCTTGAAATTTTGATTTTAGGTTACAAAAGATAAAACGTACAGAATAATTTACGAACATAGCAAGGATGTGACCGATAAGCGGAACATGATCAATTTGATCAAAGCTGGAAAGCATGTCCACATCGATTGGAAGATCAAGCTGCAATATATTATGAAGCAACAGTTTCAAGAAAGCGATACTTGTGATTTAGCTTTAGGTAGATAAATATTGTTTACGTTAATATTAGAAAATTGCGATTTTGACTTATATAACAGTTTTTTTTTCTGATTACCTATAACACAGCCTATACATTAGACAGCCAGTCGACTTACGATCATTTACATGGAGATCTACACACCTACCTAGATATTTGCTTATCTTATGTTATATAACAAGTAGAATTCTGAGCTCCATTGAAGCTTCGTTTATAAAAATATTGAGAGTGGTGCTCTATGCAATGGGCCCTTTCACAAAAAATAAAATACCCAATTCAAGGACAAAACCTGAAATAGAAGACTATTTTAAGTATATTTATCCAAAAAAAAATAGTTCCATGACATTGAATAATTTTTTTATAGGCCTCAAAATTGCTGTAATTTGAAATAATTTTAAAGTGCCAATTGATGACGTATGAAAAATACGCCCAATCACATTGCAGAACCGTGCTCGTGCGCCAGCCAACAACTGGCAACATTGCAATTTGATTTGACCAGCACCACCTCAACTCAAGTCCAATCAACTTGATATGGGAAAGGCAAATATGGCGGCGAAGGCAGTGCATTATTAAATTGTTTACCTTTAACCTGAAAAGCCGATAGTGGTTTCTCGTTCCGATTGCATACCAGAAATAATTAATTATCTCTAGTTGGTTGTGCTTCTGCAACACGTTTGTTTAGTTCTTAGTGTTCAGTGCATGGTGTGATCAGAAAATTGTGATAAAATAACAGTGTAATAAAAATCCAAACCAAACAAAATTCCACATAGGGAACTTCAAACTTTTGTGCTTTTCGTACTCCTCTATTATTAATTATTTTAAAATAAGAACTAGAAGTATTTATCAAGATATTACACCGAAATGAGTAAAAAGCCTTCACCGCCAGTCTGCATTATACTTTATAATGGTTACTTACAATAATCAAAAGATAGGTATATATAATTAAAGGTTAGGTATTAACATTTTATTGTAGCACGCCTTTTACATGCTCTGTTCCAAATTGTCACGGGAATTATAGAGGGGGTCCCAAGGTTTCTGCTTTTATATTCCTCAAAAATGACGAGCTTCGTAAAAAATGGTTGACAGCTATTAAAAGAGATAATTTCACCCCTACTAGTAGTTCTCGGGTAAGAAGTGCATTAAATATGCCTCAAAAAGGCCAAAGGCCTCTGTTACCCTAGTGAGGATGTAGTTATGGCTACTGCTTACACATACCTCACTATAAGTAAAATGTTGGAAGAAGAATCAGGCTTTTTACATCAAAAAGATCACAGAAAGACATTTGCAAATATAAATGGCCTGGATGTAAGTCTTTTTTTAGGTCACAATTGCCCCTCACATACGTCAGAATTTATTATTAAATCTATCTTGTTCAGCATATCCAATATTTTATTGAAGAACTATGCAAAAAAAGGAATGACGTCTTTACCACAAAAACAATGCCCTATGTAAAGAGAAAGAGTAAAGAAAACTAAGCTAAGCGTAAGTTTTACTTACGAACCCCCAAAAAGATATTTAGTTATTTTCTATATAAAATCTTGAAACACATATTATATTTTTTAGTTATCCTCACCTATTATAGTTTAAATTTATTCCCATTTGTGTAATGCTGCAAAACATAGAAAAAATATTCCATATTTTTTGACCCAAGCCAGTGTAGTTTATAATTTCAAGAGCATATACCAA